CCGAAAAAATCAATGCGATTATCAGGAAATCACGTTTAACAAGTTGGTTCGAAAGAAAACAAGGTCGTCGACTTGAACGAGAATAAGAACATGCGTCAAGAAGGTTATTTTTTTTTACTGAATGTTCAATATTAAAAATGCGTAATGCCGTGAAACATTTTTTATTTGCATTCACCACCAATTTTCAGCCTGAAATACTTTTACCTGTTTCTCCGCCATAATTGGAGGGCTGAGCAACGAGCATAGCTTTGGAATCATTAAGGCCCTGTTTGCAACATTTTGTCGTGGTTTTCACCGAATCCAGGGTTTTCTTCCTTCCGTTTAAACGCTCAAATGTAACCACTTATTGAGTCACTGATGCGGAACTAAACTTGCACAGCACTTCCCCCCTTCAAAAAAGAAAAATAAAGCCAGACATGAACCAGCTATAAGTCGATTATTCCCAAGTTACTCAAGTTATATCTGACGGTGGGATTTCGACGAAAATGTTATTCGGAGAATTTCCCTAATCTGGATCAGATTGGTTATTTATGAAATGAAGCTTTGGGATGTGCTGAATCAGCAGCTTTCTATATACAGTGTAGGGTACCTTCTCTGTTGTAGATTTATGCACATTAATATTTTAAAAATGTGTACGTCTCACAGATGAAAAATTCGCACTGATGTTCAAACAAAGTTGTAAAAACAAGAAAAGATATGAGAAGCAGGAGCGTCTGCCTCGCCACAGTTTTGTGACTGTGCTGTTCGCGGTCTCTTTTATCCACTAAGCCCAAGCGCTGTTAGAGCGTGCGCCGTGCGTCGTATGGGAGAAAATGTCCCAACAGTCTATTTTAGAAAAATGAACCCCTGTATATTATGGGGAATTGGAAGGGAATGTTTTGCATCATTTTGAGCTTCCCTGTATTACAACGGATGCCTACAGAAATTACACACGTATGGAGGGTTCTCGCAGAAAAAATTACCTGAAAAACAAAAATCTTTCAAAAAAAGTAATCACTTGAAAAAGGTTTACTGCTGAGCAGCATTTTTCAGGAAAAAACATACAATGAAGCAAAAATTCCAGGTTTGAGCTTTTTCAGAAAGCAGAGGAATACAAATTGTCATTGTTATTCAATGTGATACAAAAAACTTAAAAACCGAGTACTTTTGTACTTGTATCAAGAATTTGATGAAAACCCCAGGTTTTCAGGGATTATATTTTAATTATGGGTGACTAAAATGGATTTTTAAAATCCTGCCACCATGGGAAACAATAACTTTTCTAATATCTAAGAGGGTCCAGAGTGAATTTGATTTTTGAACAGTGGTTTTTTTTCCATCACACAACAAGGCCTGCATTTTCTNCTGTTGTAGATTTATGCACATTAATATTTTAAAAATGTGTACGTCTCACAGATGAAAAATTCGCACTGATGTTCAAACAAAGTTGTAAAAACAAGAAAAGATATGAGAAGCACCTCGCAGACGGAGCGGTGTCAAAACACTGACACGACAAGCGCCAGAGAAAATAGGTGATTCGGGTTCGCGACAATCTCGCACGCGGCACGCAGCATACCCTCTTTTACAGGGTTGTCAGATAAAATAAAAAATGAACCCCTGTATATTATGGGAAATTGGAAGGGAACAATTTTCAACCATTTTGAGCTTCCCTGTAGTATAACGGATGCCTACACAAATAACAAACATGCTATGTTTGGACGAGGGTTCTCGCAGAACAAATAACCTGAAAAACAAAAATCTTTAAAAAAAAAGTAATCGCTTGAAAAAAGGTTTACTGCTGAGCAGCATTTTTCAGAAAAGAACACACAATGAAGCAAATATGCCAGGTTTGAACTTTTTCAGAAAGTTGAGGAATACAAATTGTCATTGTTATTCAATGTCATACAAAAAACTTAAAAACCGAGTACTTTTGTACTTGTATCAAGAATTTGATGAAAACCCCAGGTTTTCAGGGATTATATTTTAATTATGGGTGACTAAAATGGATTTTTAAAATCCTGCCACCATGGGAAACAATAACTTTTCTAATATCTAAGAGGGTCCAGAGTGAATTTGATTTTTGAACAGTGGTTTTTTTTCCATCACACAACAAGGCCTGCATTTTCTATCTTTTAGCAGATTTTGACTTGAATGACAGTCTCAAAAACTACAGTTGAGCAGGAATCTGGAAATATTTGGACAATTCAATGAAGGAAAATTGACCATGGTCTATCAGAAATACTCAGGTTAATCCTATCAATGAAGATAAAATAAATTCTTTCATTATCACCTACACATTTAATATGTGACTGCTATTATAATTTGTCTTCGATTTTTCTCTGCGTATCGCAAAAAAAAAAAGCTCAGACAAGCTGATTTGTTCACACCGTGTCCCTGCCTCCGAAACTCCCTAGAAATCTGTCTCTCTCTCTCTCTCTCTCTTTCCAGAAGACTCCTTTTATGGATTCTGACACGAAGGAAGGAAAAATAACATAGGTTGCTGTTGTTGTCCACACCGTCACCGACTCATTTCTCTCCTCATTTCCTGCAGAAGTGTCGACTTCCTCTGCCTCGACAATGTCACTCGCTTCCACTCAAACATTTATCTTTCCAGACAATCAATGGGCTCCTCATTTTATTCTTGAATCCTACCTTCTTATACCCGCTTTCCTATACGTAATACCCCAGCAAAAACTGGGTTTCAGTAGAAAAACCAGAAATGAGTTCCGGGGATTTCTTCCAGCGCTCATTAACGTTGATGACTTTCTGCGGAACGACGAAAAATGAACGAGTCGGTTCGTCAAGACCAGGAACAAGCAACTTTTTGTTTCAGTAGAAAAACCAGAAATGAGTTCCGGGGATTTCTTCCAGCGCTCATTAACGTTGATGACTTTCTGCGGAACGACGAAAAATGAACGAGTCGGTTCGTCAAGACCAGGAACAAGCAACTTTTTCTTTTCTGCGGCTTTCTTCTCTAGGAAAAAAAAAAACGAAGACAGTTTTCTCAAACGCAGTAATTATTGGCACTCATGCAAAAGATAAAAAACAAACAACGATAGGAAAAACAAAATTGGAAAGAAACGAAAGGAATCTCGTGGGATTCGATTAGTGGAGAGTCCAACAAGCTTGGAGCATTCTTCATGTCACTCCCAGAGGCCCAAGAAACTCGGGGTAAGGTTGAATCGTATTCACCACAGATGGTTCTCAAACCTTGGTTTCCGCGGGTTGCCATTGAAAAGAAGCTGCTGGAAAGGTTCACCATTCGTTGCACCATATGTTTTTTTTTTTTTTTTACCATCAAAGCGTTTTATTTTAATACTGTCGAGTTGACTGTTGGAAAACATTTTCGTGGAAAAGAAATTTATTCCCAAGAACCCAAAAATATTTCAATTAGGATTCGAGAGACTAACAAAACTTTCATCTCTAAAAACATTTAATCTAATACTGTAGGCGAATTTACTGTCGGAAAATGTCTGTGCGGAAACAAAATTGATTGGTTTGCACCCGATATATTCCAATAAAGGATTCGAAACACCAACAAAACTTATCTCCCCCTCAGAACATTAAACAGCTTGGACTTCCTCTACAACGAAATTCGATGGAATGGCAAAAATTCGCTGTAGAAAAAATATTGTTTCAGAAATCCCCGTATAACATGGGGAGAGAACAATAATATGGGACCCAAAAAGATCGTTTTACGGAGAAAATCGTTGTACAGAGAGAATACTGTCGGATTTGTTGTTCTTCGCGAAAACAAAACGCATTCCAAAACGCTGAAAATATTTCAATGAAGGATTCGAAACATTAAAAAAATTTCAAACCTCAAAACATCCTATTTAATACTGTCGATTTCACCGTTGGAACCTTTCTACATGGAAACAAACTCCTTTGTCAAGCACCCAACATATGTCCACAACGGATTTGAAACTCTTCAACAAAACTTTGGAATCAACTCTAAAACAACAACTCATCTTCAAAGCACAGGGCATATATCAGAATTTTTTACCATCAAAGCGTTTTATTTTAATACTGTCGAGTTGACTGTTGGAAAACATTTTCGTGGAAAAGAAATTTATTCCCAAGAACCCAAAAATATTTCAATTAGGATTCGAGAGACTAACAAAACCTTCATCTCTGAAAACATTTAATCTAATACTGTAGGCGAATTTTCTGTCGGAAAATGTCTGTGTGGAAACAAAATTGATTGCTTTGCACCCGATATATTCCAATAAAGGATTCGAAACACCAGCAAAACTTATTTTACCCCTCAGAACATTAAACATCTTGGACTCCCTCTACAATGAAATTCGAGGGAATGACAAAAATTCGTTGTAGAAAAAATATAGTTTTAGAAATCCCCCTATAACATGGGGAGAGAACAATAATATGGGACCCAAAAAGATCGTTTTACGGAGAAAATCGTTGTATAGAGAGAATACTGTCGGATTTGCTGCTCTTTGCGGAAACAAAATGCATTCCAAAACGCTGAAAATATTTCAATGAAGGATTCGAAACATTAAAAAAATTTCAAACCTCAAAACATCCTATTTAATACTGTCGAATTCACCGTTGGAACCTTTCTTCATGGAAACAAACTCCTTTGTCAAGCACCCAACATATGTCCACAACGGATTTGAAACTCTTCAACAAAACTTTGGAATCAACTCTAAAACAACAACTCATCTTCAAAGCACAGGGCATATATCAGAAGAATTTTAAAAATGCAATAAATGCATCGAATCTATTTTTGTTGTTGCTGAATAAACGCGACGGAAAAGGAGGTCAAACACCATTTCCATTTTTGAATAATTATTCGACTCCGCTCCGTTTCAATTTTTTTTCAAAATAGTTCCTGACTGTACAATTTTACCCTCAGGGACTCTTCTTTGCGATGTTCCAAAAAAATAACCTAGCCATGATTATTTGAGCATTTTATTCCTGATCGGAATGCGGGATTCTGCAGTTTGAGAACCTCTTCTCCGCTGGGGATTTATACAAGCACCAGGGGAGTGTGTTGTAGGTTATTGCCGAGCCTCCTCATGAATTAGTTTCCTCATCCACGGAGCTATTGAGGAGCTGGGACGAATAATCCATCCACGAGGTGGATTATGCCATTCTTCGTCCTTATGTTGGTCCTGAGCAAGCGCTGGCCATTGATCAACAAGCCACCTGTCGAGATACACGAGTCCAATGAGGTCAGAGGAGGAAATGAAAGTCCTGATGGAACAGTATAATGTATTTTTTGATCAGTTTAGAATATATTTATCCACAATGAGTTAACATATATTTTCCAATAGACGCCCCAGGCGTCTATTAAAAAAAAATTCCCTGTCCCCAGGCGTTTATTGAAGACTAACTCTTATTGGAGGCCAGCATTTATTAAAAAAAAAAAAAAACATTGCAGCTTGGTAGGAAATTTCCAAGGCAAAGGCTTATTGAATAAAAAATTGCAGGCGTCACCCTCCTTGTTGGTCATCCTAGGATGTCCCCAGACCCCCTTATTATTCCTGCAGTACATTGTACACACACACCAGACAAACAAATGACAAACAAAGAATGTACTTTTTTTTACGCATCCAATACATTAAGTTGTCAGGATGGCCGAGTGGTCTAAGGCGCTGTGTTCAGGTTACAGTCTGATTCTGCAGGTGTGGGTTTGAATCCCACTTCTGCAATCATTTTTTCCTTTTTTTTTCATTTTTTTTTTGTCTGCACTGCGGATGCTCTACTACTTGATAGGAATGTATAAAAAATAATTATTATAAGTGAAAGAGTGCTCAAGGGTAGCATCTTTCTTTAGAATTTCAGATGAGGGAACTTCACATTAAGTGAAAGGGATTACTTCTACCTCTGATGAAAATACAAGGACAGAAATCCAACTTGGTTTTACCCTCTTCTTTCATCCCATGTGGCCCCTGGCAATAATAGAGACCAGTGCCTATTCCCTTTAGCCCCGGCCTTTATTATAGACTACTGTCTATTAGTGACCCAGCCTCTGTTGGAACATAAATGGTATATGTAAGTTATACGAAGAGATCTAGGAAATGGTTTAGAAGTTAATTAGGAAATGATTCAATCCAAAAAGAATATTGAGTAAAACACGATGCGCCGCCGGGGAACTCAGCAGGGAGATTCTCGGTAGAATCTCCAAAAGAACAAATTCCAAATATATTTCAGAAGCAAGACAATTTCCCAAAGTTTCAAGGTAAAGAAATTCAGATATGTGATTTCAGCAAAGACACACAATAAAAAGCAACCGAATGCTCCAAAAGCTCAATGAAAAGTGGTGATTTGTAACTGTATTATTCTTTACTTTCAAGTGATTGCGCAATTACCTTTATGACGCCTAAAGGGTTACGCGTTGTAAGGTAAGAACAAAAAGGGCGTAAGGAAGTGATTAATTTAAATGGACACAGGATGTCATATATGTCATAAATTAACTCATGGTGAGTGTGAAAGAATCTCAAAATTGAGTGGCACTGTATAAGGAGGTGCATTTTGTAAGTGGGTGTATGCATTTTTTTTTATTACCCAGGGGACCATAATACATGTGGACTCTTTTCACAACAATCTTGTCTAGATACTCTAGAACAGTATTTTCTGCATAACAAATTTTTCTCCGATGGGATTTTCTCCCCATATTATAAAGATTTTATTCAATGAATTTCTCTCTACAACAAAATTGGTCTGGTCCCTTGCATTTTGTTGTAGAGAAAATTCACCTGCATATACCTGATTCTCATTGCAAATGTTGACCCAAACTTATAAAAAAGAATTGTTTTAATGAAGATGATCGAAATTTATTGAAATGTAGGTTCCATTCATGTCTAAATAAAAAAAAATTGTGGTCTTATTTTTGAAATATTGCAGTTTTAGAGTCACTAGAAACATGGTGTGCATCTTACTCATTGAGGAAATTGTTTTCAAAATTTTGAACTGAACACTACTTTTGAATTATTCACCTGGAGATGGAGTGAGGATGAGTTGGGTTCCATTCAACGAAGTAATTCCTCGTCCAGCAGAATTGAGGTCATCTGTGGTGTATTCTCCAGACACGAGGTGAGCCCTAATGGAAAGAATTCGAGAAAATTACTTCACGGAACATTTAACCTAGTATTTTTCCGTTGTTAGCAGTACTTCCAAAACAATTATTTTATTTAATGATCATAGTTTTAAAAATCCAGGATAATCACTCGCAAACTTGTAATAAATCGAATTTTAGGGGATAAGATCGCACACAATTTTTTGGTTTCAAGTTTTGCGAATCTGTTTGGCAAATGTATTCACGTCTTCAATGGAATCTTCAGATGCAATGCGCCTTGAATATGTGATGTTTTGCATCAAGTGAAGGAGTACATATAATATCAAGAAAATGAACGCTTGCATATGCAACTTCAGCATCCTCTGTCAACTCATTTAACAAGCAATTCAATATCCAGAATATCACCAATTACAATTGTCTTCGATTCTTCTTCTCCACCTGCCCCAAATGCCTGATTCATTATTAAGTACTGTTTTTGGTATCTCCTAACAACTCGAATTTTGTGCTGGTCCACTTGAAATTCAATTTAAAGAGTTTTAACTGTAAATGCGCCCCCCTTTTCAATCTTCAATGCTTCTCCGTCACGTGAATACATCAACGCATTTAATGAAGAAAGAAAATATTGTATGCAATAAACGAGCATTTCACATAGAAAATAAGAAACATATTCTTACGTGGGAAGAGTAGCGATCCATTGCCAATGATTAAACAGCAGCACGGGGAATGGCATTTTCATACTTTTGAAGACGTCATCGGTTGGCATGAAGGCTGTGAATTTGCGTCCATCATTCACGTCCAACTTGGACAATCCCATTGCTGTCAGGAACATTCGAACCGGCAACCTCAACTCAGTCGCTGTCAGCGACATGGATTTCAATTCCTTTTCAAGCCCTGGCGACACTGTCGAGGGCCTGCTGTCGAAAAGTTCAAAAGTGAAAAATCCACGGTTGTGGTGTAAATATATAAAGCTTTCATGCGTATGTGCTTAATTATCCACTGAATTTACTATATACACATGAGGGTATTGTTATTTAAGCCCTGGATGTAGAGTGCCTTATTCTTCATAATTTCCGGGTCTGCTACATAGGTGTCGCATGAATCAAACGGCCTTGATTTTGGTCAAATGCGCATCAGTTTCAGTCACGTTAGATTTTGATCCTAAGAGCCTATGAGTTAGACTGGGTTTGAATTTGTGAACTAAGGTTCTTTTTGAAACAAGGTCCGTAGATCAAATAAGCATGTCAGCACGAGATTATCGTAAGGAATCCCGACTATGCTGGGGGTGCTGCGTAAAAACCGCGAATTTAATTGCACCGCACATCTGAAGGACAATAATCTGCGTAATTCACTTCCACCGAACCCGCAAGTACTTTAAGTAATTTCAAATTGAAAGTAAAAATGTCCATTAAAAATTGGGCATTTTCTCATGTCGTAAAACAATTGGAAGCTGGAATTTTATCAAGGTGTCCGCAAAATGGGAGTTCAAAAAGTTAAAAAAAAAATCAAAATGTAAAATCATTAAGGCAGAAAGTTGGCTGAAAACTTCCATAGAAATTTCAGAAAAGAAAAGTGACTTTCCTTCAACGGAGAATATCGAAGGCAAATACTAAATCGAAAAATGAGTTGTATACAGTAATGAATTCAAATTCCACAGCACTTCAAAAAATAACAAAAATATTTATAAACACCTCAAATGCTCCCGAACTCCAAAGATTGAAAAGAAAAGGACAATAAATGTGAGAAAAACAAAAAATCCTCAATTTTCTCAACGTTTGCTTTCAATTATAGCATTGTTCAAATTCCAGGAATATGCGGATATATTGTACTGTATTTGCATACTTCGTGATATAAGGTAAATATAGATTTCTTGGCTATAGTAGACTTCAATCAGTACTCAAATTTTTAGTTAAAAAAATCAAAATATTCGTTTAACCTTTCAGTTTTTGAGTCGACAAGAGCGGGCAAATCCTTGTCAATGTTGATTTTAGTGTCGGTGTTGTCAACGATGTCATTGGCTGCCGCAGCCTTTTCCTCGTCGACAGCAGACTCGACAGCGATTGCGTCCACGTGTTTGCCATAATCAAAGGCGACCAATTGGGACTTGCTGGCGTCTTCGTTTCCTGCTTGAGGGACGCCACCTTCATCAACGGCGACCGGCGACGCGTCACTCAACAACAACAATGTTGTGAACAACAGAAATCGGAACCCAACGCTCGCGAAATTCCGCGCCATTTCGTCCGCTTCTATTATTTTCACTGAGATTTCAAATTCAATTTGGAAATATGACAAATGGGGATTTGAACCGCATGTATAGCAGGTTAAAAGTAGACGATGAAAAGATCCTAGGACCTTTCATCTCAGCGCACGATTTCGCAGAAAATGCGCATTGGCACATTTAAAAGCTTTCCAACACGATATATTCTCAGTTATCCAGGAATAGACATTCAAACAATACCAGAATATATGAATGAAATCTTGTAAAAATTTTCAAGACATTAATACCGACGCTTGAAAAATCTTACCAAAATAATTATTGAATGAAAAATAATGAAAGAATTTTTAGGTAAAAGCGGGCGATATCATATTTATTTTTGAAATAAAATAATATCAATTCGGGGGCAAATAAACGGTGTTTTTATAGTTTTAAAATGTTGAGAAACATATGAACTACAGCTCGAACAATAAGAGTAGCAGATTAGCGTTACAAAAAGATTAATCAATCTTCTCACAGCAACAGCAAGGATATTTTTTATTCAATCTCCTTTTGCCAATCCTTCTCTGCTCATCCAAGTCAACATTGAGAGAAGGAAGAAAACCGAAAGTGAACATCAATACAGTATGAAAAAATACAAATGAACAGCCGCACTTGAAATCTTACACGAATTTCCTTTCTTTTCAGGTGGTACCAAATATTTCCAATACCAAGAGCTGATAATGTCGAAAATCAAACAAACGTGTTTGAATGGAAAGCGTGCTATCATCTGGTTAATAGTTGTTTTGTTAATGATTGTTCTGACAAATAAATCAGCAAGAATTTGAAGAAGCCAGGTCAGAAATTCGACGAAATATGCAGCGAATCAACATGTATTTGTTTTTCGGCCGTTATTAATTTCTTATCGCAGGATTCCAATTCCGAAACCTGAGTGCCAAAATAATTTTACTTTGAAGGGATTGACGAAACTTCCGAAATAACCGTTTAAAGTTGAATCGCATTTTTCTGTGTAGCATGACAATTGTAAAAAAATTATCGAGAATTCCGGCTAACGAGATAAAATAAGCAATGGAATAAGAAATTCATATGAGAACTTGTTGCCATCGAAGATTTCGACGCCCTAAATATTTCGAAATACGAACCAGACTGCAAAATTTTGCCGAAATTTCCAAAGGTTAGAGAGCGTAATGAGACTCGGGTGTATATCTGGGATTTTTTCAAATTTGCAAGCAGCCGCGCTTTTCTTCGGCCCTTGCTTTTCCTTCTCGCAAAAAAAGTTTTCAATCAGACACTGATTCAGTACAGTACTTTCTTTTTACTTTTTTTTTTTTTTAGAAAGAAAGAGAGAACTTGCAAACCTTTCACTGCTTTCCTCGATTCGCATTTCCCGCGATGCCTATTCATGGTACCCGTGCATTCACTCAACATGTGCTGTTTTCTTCTTTTCCCAGAATAATCTGAGGTTATAAAGCACATTTTTCATTCCAAAGGTGCATTGTGTGGATGCAGAGCGTGTGAAACACAGAGCTTGTTAACGTGGTAAATTTCGGCTAATTTAGGTTCATTGGATTTATTTACTGAACTATTAAGTTCAGGGGAATATCGTATATAGTGAGAATGTGTGGGAGAGAATGACAAAATTTAAAAGAAAATACCACATGCTTCGTACATAGCCTCTGGGCTCACGGTTATAGTTCCGCGATCCGGAACTAAATCCTGTCGCAGGAAATCCGGTTTATGTGTTTTCTCTCTGTCTCGAAAGCCTTTCCACTGCGATGCAAAGAAAAAGTACAGTACTCGTATTTTCTACAGGCTTGCATTCGGGACAATAGCCTACAAATATAAAATCCCCCCTCTCCAACCAAAATTTCCAATTTGTGAAATGAAGCTTATATAGACAAGCTTTACGACACATCTTGAACGAAGCTAACATTTCTTTCAATAGGATTATCTTCAGAAGATGGTTTTTTATATGAACTTAATCAATTAAACAAGGACCATCTGCTATACGAGTAATTTTTCACGTTCTTAAAATGTTGCATTTTGAAAATTTTACCTTCAATTCCCCAGCACGTATCTTATGATTTCCTTCTGAAATATGAGAACAAAAGTGTCCCTTTCATCAAAGCTGAAACTAAAAAAATCTTCATAAAAGTAGAACAAGGATTTTCGATTATAAATTATGGCAAGAACAGATGTAAAATAGAATATCCCTCAACAGCATTCGAAACTCGGTCCTATAACTGAAAAATTACTTTTTTTAATAGAGATTATCAATGCAATTCCATTAATTTGAAGAAAAAATAACATTTAAAAAAATGTCCATTGAATGTATTGCTCATTACACGCAGAGGCGAAAGTGAGGAAATTTAAATGACGGACGACGCATGAATCATGCTTGATGCCTTTCAGGCAAGGAAATGAAAGGTTTTTTGCAGGGTATTCATTAGGCTCCGTATGCTTTTCAATTTCCACTCCATCTCTCACGAAAATTAAAAAAATTCATGTAAAAGCTCCGACGGAAAAAACGATTTCACGAACCTTCGAGAAACTGTTGAGAAACATGCTCCTCTTGGTTTTTCTGCAACAGTTCTTGTAGTTTTACGGACTGGGAAGAAAATTTTATATTTAAGCATTGTGCTCATAATTTTCGAAATAAATTTTTCCAGGGATGAAAGCACATTTTTTTTTACGGGGATTTTATATTTTCTTTCAAGAAAAAATGTAGAGTATGAGCGAACGCTATCCCAGAAGAAAATCGTCAAATTGTATTCCTCGAAAATTTCTTGAACTCATCTTTGAAGGCCTCACCTTGGCTCAAACGTAATTAAAGGAAGCTTTCCGGGTTTGAAAATTGCTTTCTGAGAGAGAACTGATAGTCATTGAGCAACCTTTTTTTTTACATTGGATTGAGACTTTCATGATTGTAAAAACACGATTTCGTCAGCACTTCTTTACCTCGGACGCAAGTAATAAAGAACCAAGATGATATAAAGATAATGCAAACCCACCAGTTTGAATTCGTCAGGTTCAAGTAAAAAAATATATATCCCGACAAAATGAAATTGAAATTAACCAACTAAATCAGGATTTCAGTTTCCGCTTTCCATATAGAGCTTCGACAAAATTTGGCACTTTTATTTAAACATGCAAATCAACGAAACTCCCCACAAAACAACCTCAAGCGCGAACAAAAATTGGTTTCATTTCTGTAACTTACAATTTGAAAGCATTTACCCATAAAAACCTATCACCAGCTTCAATCGATTTTTGAATTACATCAATTGTTATAGCTATTTTTATTTTTCAATCTTGAATAGGGTTGAAAAAGAAACGTCCAATCTGATTTTTACTGTCATCAATATATTTTTTTCTCTTAAAAGCTCTTAAATTTACCCCGCAGTTCAGTTTGAAATATTTTTTTCAAAACAAACAAAAACTTGCCCACGTCAGAGGATTTCAAACAGTCTTTGTGAACAGTTCATCCTTTTGAGAAAAGATAACCATATCTTTTGTCCCATAGTTTTTGCAATTTCATCCCTTTATTCCTTTATATTTTCGGAAGTCATGACTATAGTCTATTAAAGAGCCAGAGTTGTATTCTTGACATCAGAGCTAATTTGGCACTCAAGTTGGCCGGTTGAATTAGTCTCAAAACTCAGTGCCAGACAAGGAGTTTCTCTGTTTTGCGTTTTGTGTGCTTTGTGATAAATTGCATTATCTGGTGCTGGATTTCCATATTGAAAATAATAAATTACTGTACTTTTCTTTGTGGAACAGTTCTTCCTTTAATATTATATAACAAATCAAAGAAAGTCTACAAGAATGCACCCATTCAAAAGAAATCTAATTGTCATGATTCATCGCAGGCTATGACAAAAATACATCCCTGAGCAAAGATCTAATATTCATTCAAGGTTGAGAAGGGCAAAGTTTAAAAAACAAGGCGTGTCAAGAGACATTCACAGGAATACCTTCCAGTTGAGATTAGTTTATTTACCTTATAGAAAATCCCACACACCCTGGATCCTGGATATTTCTTTCTAAAAGCCAAGCCTGTAGATAGATAGGACCTTTTAATAGTGCAAGTCATGATTTCCGCAAGGATAGAATATCGAGAGTCAAACATGTGGAAAATAAAAATGTCAAAAAAGCCGATTTCCCAATAAGGGGTCTGTCAACGTGTCCACAAGTAAAAATAATTTATTGCAAAAGATTCATACCTGTCAAGAAGCAAAGTTGTAAAGAACAATCAGCAAATTTGCAGGTGATGGGACATTTTTCCTAGTTCCACAATGTACATATTTCCATATCTTGAAGATTTTATGGCAATAAGAAATCTCAGTTCAGAATGTATAAAAAAAGCTCAAGATTGGATTTTAAGAAAAAGTTTCGCAATTCCTATTTTTTTCGTGCTGAGTCAAATATTTTTTTTTTCATCTTTTGCTCCATGAATGGAAATTTTTCCAAGGGCAAGACGGATTCTCCAAGAATATCCTAACCAGTATTTTTGATCTTGAAAAAATTGCGTGACTTTTTTCGGCCAGAAAAATTCACAAAGAATTCCAAAGGGCGAGACTCAATGAATTCAATCGAATTTCCTCTCAACCAGACTCACATTCGATGTTTCCAGTTCCAAGAAATTCTGTGAGTAACAACATGACAAGATATTCATTGCTGTAGCAGTCTAAAACCATTATCAAATAAATCTCGCCCTCGATATCATTCCTTCAATCGCTTAAGAATTTCGTCATGATCAAATTGTCTTGCTCACACTTTCCAAAAAGAAATTCAGTTGAAGTCCAGGGTTGCAAGAGGTAACTGTGGTCAAACAATTTCTTCTCAATCCTAAATTTTCTTCTGGGAGAATGTCCAACTAAATGATGTATTTCAAAAGAATTCCATTCCTTCAAGAATCATGCAAAGGAATTCCAAAGTCCATAATATCTCTTTTAACACTTTCAGAACTGAATTTTATTTCAAAGAAGAACTGAGAGAGGGACACTGTCATTAAAACATTTCTTATTTCTCAACCACCCTGCGAATGGAATTTCAGTCATTTTCTGGAAGTTTTGGGTTCCCTCAATTTTAACTGAACTTAACATCCTGGTAATACATTGCAGATAAAATTCAATACTGAACTGTAAACAGAAAGTGCTCAAAAATTCACCCCACTGCTAATTTCAATATAAATTTTTCAAAACAAAAACAAAAACGTGCCCACAGAAGATGGCGAACGGTGCTGTGGGTTTCGTTCGTTACACGCGGTCAGAAGGCCACAGCAGATCACTATATATACTCAAAGTTCACTGCACCTGTTGACTATTTTTTTTTTCGAAATAAAAAAGCAACAGAACAATTTAAAAAAAACACACTCTGGAAGGCTGAGCTGCTGTGGCTTCCTTGGCGGCCAAGCACCAACTATATCGGTCAACGCAGCTCGGCCAACACCACCTGCTCCCTGATGCCCGAGAGAGAAACTGTGCAGGTAAATAAATCCCCCAAAAAAAGAGAGAAACAATTGTCAGAAGGAAGGACAGAGAGAGGGAAAGAAGAGAACGAACGACAGACAGACAGAATCACGTGAAAGAATATGGGTGTGAGCGAAACGAAGGAAAAATATAATGGTAACTTATAGAAGAACCAGCGTTTTATTTCTTACCGCTTCGTGCGCACGAAGCGGCTGTTCCATGTTTTGCAGCTTTTGCAAAGAAGAAAAAAAATTTGCAGGAACGATAATGCCAAGAGAAATGAATGAATCGTTCAATCACGCATGCATTACTAACTGTATGGACGTGATGTCATAAAATGGGTGACAATTTGCGGAATTTTATTCGTTATTTCACTGGTGTATGTGGTACATGAGGTGGAAAAGTACTGAATTCCAATAACGCGTTTTTTTGTGCAGAGTTATACTTATAAGGAGCAGCACATTTCTCACAAAAACCTCCAGAGGCGGTAGATCTTCCACAGTGGAAGTGCCAAATAAAATTTTATCCAATTACTTCAATCGTATTTCGAATTTTCATCAATACAAATAAATTCGTACGGGTTTTCATCCTTTATCAAGGCAAACCTTGAAAGTATAAAATTTTAAAAATTCATTTCTGAAAATTTGAACCAATGCGGACACTTTCCGATTTGAATGTGTCCTAAATTCTTGGGAAAAATTAAGAAAATATTTCCTTGTCTAGGGTTTCCAGCCCATGTCACGCAGAAGGAACGTTTTCTGCATCCTGTTCGCAATATCACGCTATCGGTTACACGAGGTCAAATACAAGGTCAGAGGTTATACAGCAATTTGAGTTCCTGCTTCTTGTGGAGGATGTACGGTAAAGTTCACGTTGGAATGGTAACCTTTGTGAAAACGACTATAGATCCTCACGTTTTCTCTGTAAAAAGGAAAAATACCCCGAAGAAAACCTCAATAAATCTTGTAAGTCAGGATGCTGATAGGCAAGAAAACAAACTCTCCGCGAATTTTCTTTCAAATTTGACTGAATTTGCGAGAAATATTAAGCTATGCAAACGCTTCATTTCTTTTAGAAACTTCAACATATTTGATCTGTTTCAGAACACAAAATAAATTATAAAAAAAATTAAATGATTCAGGTCCAGTTATAAATCGAGTTTCAAAAGAGAAGTTCAACAAAAGCATGTTTTCAAATGATCAAATGCATGTACTATAGAAGTACTTCGAAGCAAGATAATCCACCTTTACTATTCAAGAATGAATTCAAATTAAGTCTCGTATTCTGCTCCAACTTCACCTAGTTTTACATTACGTAAAGTTTTGAGACATGCCTCTCTCATGTGAAGTGATTGCAGGAAAGATTTTGTAGGAAACTTCAGAACGAATTTAAATGCACTTCAAAATCGATCAGGCTTCCAAATTCGCAGCGTTTTAAAAATCCCGATAGGCAATTGCAAAAAAAAAAGTCTCAATCTCACTTCGAAAAGAGACAGAATAAAAATCTGAATATTGGTTCACAGAAGAAAATGGAAATCGTCGACGAGCAGAACCCACTTGTATAATCGTGATACAGTACTGCTGTATAATTAATCAGTTTTTTATTGCGGTTGAATACGATGATGTGCGCCATTTCAAGTTTTAAAAATCTTTGATTTTTCCTGATTTTAGCTTTGAAAAGAAAAATTCCCCGTCTTTGAGAGTAGGCGGAATCACGACCAAGAAACAGTTTCTCTTCTCATTTTGATTTTTGCCGGGACTGGTTCTTAATTTGGTAGCGAGACCGAGTTCAGGGCCACGAGTTGAAATTGTGAGATCGCACGCCCATCAATTGTCTGAAATACCCTGACAAAAAATAAAATTATAGAATACAATGTTATTCCTTTTTTCCGGAATCCCCCCCGTTATTTTCGAAAGACAGGCTTTCTGCGTAAAAAAAAAAATCGCACCACTGATTCCAATCGTGGTCGAATTGCTCTCTTGGAGCAGAAAACCTTCAGAATAAAACAGCAGCTAAAAAAAAAGAACACGCTTGGGAATTGAGAAATAAGTGCAAATCACGCCACATTTCTTTTCTCTTTTGCGAATCCTCGCTCATTTATTTCAAAGCAAGACTCAATGCATGGATAAATTTCAATCGCATGACGAATGAGGAGATCAGAAACTTGAAGGTGAATTAATAAAATGCGAAACACAAAATGCCCCTCAAAGAAGATCAGCTTCGCCAAATCATTCCTGAGCCCATAGAATCCCTTTTGGGGACGAATAATCCAACTTCTCAGCGAAACGAATTTTTTCTCAGTTTGTAAAAAAGAGACGAAGAAAAAATATCGCATCAGAAGTTCGTCTGGTCGATCCGCACAATCCGATCAAAGAAGACTGAAGAAAAACCCCAGCTCAAGTGCCTTTTCTTAGACCACAATCAATAAAACTCCGGAGTTCATCTAACGAGAAAGGAAAAAAACAGACCTTTCAAGTAAAATAGAATTCAGCAGCTCCTGCTTCAAGAATTCTACTGAAAAGGCGAACGTGACTCGCAAATTTTCCCATCAAATCCCTTCGGACAAAAGCAGGTGTTGCGTTGAATGCAAAGTCCTCCATTTAAACATTCTGGCTCGCATACCGCTAGAAAAAAAGCGAAAAAAATATTCAAACACAAAATAACCTAATCCAAAAAATAATTCGCAAGAGTATTTCCATAATGTTTGTGATGACCGACTGCTTCAATTTTTAGTTAATTGTACACCTATACTATAGCTTGGAAAAATATTCTCTGGCACACATGAAAAAAAAATGCGAAATTTTTTTTTAATGGGGGTTTTAGGACTGCATTCCATATTTCGTTAGTTGATTAGATGCAATGGGAAATACGTACAAAATACGCAAAACTATTTTTTTAAATTCATAAATTTCAGAAAAACGTACAATCAAACCTGTTTGTGTCAAACTTCAAAAGACCAGCGGAAAAATCGAGTGTGGGAGGTGTTGAGTCAGGGAAATAAGAGATTTTGTTAGGCACGAGAAATAATTACAAGGTAATTTTAATTTGTGATATATTGTGGATTTGTGCCTCGAATTGCTTTTTAATTGAGTTTACAGGATGCTGAATTTGGAAGCAAGGGTTCATTTGCCGGCCATTAATCTTTCACTTTTTCTTAGAACACAAATCAAATTACATTTTTAATGCTTCTTTATTTCCTAGTACTGTATAAATAAAATCATATCAAAAAGGACTCCAAGAAATAAAAATTGAATTTCGGAGGCTTGAGGGAGCGATCCTTCAAAAATTAATTACGTTTTTGATGCACTGTTTCCGAGACAATTCAGACAGGGAGTTTATAAAAATTGACACAGGGGTGTATTCCATTTAAGCTGGGTCAAATATAAACCATTCTTGAACCAGCGATCTCCAACTCCAAAGTATTTGCACGTTATTCCCTTCACGGAAAAAATACGGTAACAAAATTTAAAAAACTCCTACAGTATTTTCAAACCCTCGAAAGAACTTTTCGGAATCCCAGTCCAGAATTTTTTCCCAAGATCAAATTATATATGAAGGCAAACATAAATGAAAAAAAGGCTTTGGAAAATATACTCACGGATATGACATCGGCTTCCCTTGAAGCCTTGAGGGCAGGAGCACGCAAATGGTCGCACACAATGTCCTCCATTCAAACACGGAAATGGACAAGTAGCTGCAATAAGTATCGAACAAAAATCTGATCACATCTCAAGTACTTGAACCCAGCTGTTTCTGCTTTCTATAGAAACGACTGAATAACATCCCAACATATTATTGCGTGTCTCATCAGTTTTATTAGTTCGAAAAGATGATTAACGCAGTACAGTGCAGTACATCCAATGATGAATACTGACGATGACGAGGTTGAATAATTTATCTCCGTCTTATTTTCAGCACAGTATTTTTTATGAAAAAGGTGTACTTCTTCTTATAGCACGTTTCCTAATTTCTTAATTGAATCATTCCTTCAAGTATGAAAAAATCTTCATCAAATGAGTGGCCAAAATTCTGTAGCCGACAGTTGAAATTCTCCAGACGTAAAAAAAGGATTCCGTCAATCCATTTCACTTAAAAATTCAATCCAGCGATGTGAGTGACATTAAGTGTCACCAAAAATTCACAACAGACTTGCTGTTCTCACTCGAAAGCTCGAAAAGTGAGAAAAAATATTTTCTTCTTTCTTCAGGAAATAACATTAAGACAGAGACTCGTTGCCCGGTATGGTGCATGGCGCAAGTAATAAATTTTTACAAACCCATAAACTTCAACAGCCAACTTTATCTCTTCAAGTACAGTAAAATCAAGTTTTTTACAGTAATACGTAAAATGCGAGGCTCGTATAGTGAGAGAAACGTCAACTGTTCAAATGTATGTTATGTACAATTTTTCTAATTTTTAGATTCAATCATTATAATAGCTTCGTAAATTCTCTGAATGGTCAGTATAAAACTTTGACCTTGGCATATTCGTTGATGAAGGATTTTCGAAAGAAGCGTGGGTGAATATTGTTTTTGAGAAGGAAAATAATTGACTGAGCCCTTCAGAAAAAGATGAATTGAGAAAAAGTGCATTACTTATACACGCAAATTTTACTTGAAATGCCCGTATACACAGTGATTTTTTTTATAAGAAAGTGATTGGGCACTTGCAAGATGAATATTCGTCGCAAAAAACTGTGACACTGAGACTTTAAAAACCTTGAAGCTACATGAACTTTGGAATTTGGGTTGCATACCGTATTTTTGAAGCAAAGGGCTGGTTATGAAGCAAATAACCAGATTTTTTGCAATGAGATTATACTGAATGAATAATTCAAGACACAAAAAAGGACAAGAATTTCTTAGTTGGCAAGATTTCATTGGAACAAGATTACATTGAAGCACAACGAATACTGTAGTCCAATTTGATCTGACCGATTTTTTTTCCGCATCGGTAGATGTCACTGCTAGCAGCCAAAATTCCATCTTTACTAGATTTTCATTTATGCAATGACCTTATTCGACATCCATATCACACATTCTGCTACTTTTGTCCGCGAGCCAACCGAGGGTTCTAATGTGAATAGATGTCGCTGGCAGTCACGAAAATAAACAGTTCCTCGATTTGGAGTTGAGCCATCAAATAACCAGAAATCCAGCATGTATACAGCTTTGCTGAACCCGATCGTACAGTAATAATTAAACTCACGTTGTTCGCAGCGTTTGCCCATGAAGCCCTGAGGACATGTGCACTTGTAGAAATCCGTGCAGGTGCCGTTATTGAGACATCTGCGCGGACAAAATGGCGACGCTGGTCGATTCACGCAAAAACCAGCTCTGTCCCAAGTGTTGTCTGGCAGGCACCTGAGCAACTCAGACCCATACGGCATCTTCCCTGAAGAGACAATCAATCGCGAAAGTACGAGCACAGCAGAATGAGGAATGACAGGGATTTTCTGGAGCTTTTCTCGGCGGTGGATATGTAACTCACCAGCTGGACATAAGTAGCGCACGACATCTTTCCTCAGTAAAGAGAAACTTTGAACATACGCTCCGTTCCTCAATCTCGGGATGCCGCAGCGTGGTCCTATGATCCAGAATATTCACTCGTCAATAGTCGTCATGCAGGCATAAATTGATTTCTCTTAGTAAAAAAGTTGTAATTAAACTTACGATTACAAGAACCTTTGAGCTGAGACCAAGTGCCATTTTGAAAACATGTTATAGTCATATTTCCGGAAGTGAAACGCCCTTTTTGGCACTCGATTTCTAGACTGGTTCCAGGTTTCCATCTTGGCCTTCTGTTTTTCCGAAGAGCGCCTCCTCCAGTTTTTGTCGGCATCGGTATTACGTAGTCTTTGGCATTCAATTCAGGAGCATCGCACTTGGGAACTGAAAAATTGAGATAATTCGAGCCAATCTTAGCAGACTGTAATTAAGATGCGAAGGTTGTCCCAGTTATTGGACGCAAAAAGCGGACACTCTTGAAAATCAGAGCTGACGTATTAACCGCGTATCTGAAAACTGTCTTCATGAAATAAGATTAGGTCATTTCCAAAAGAAAAATTCAAAATTATCGCGCTTTCAACTCTTCATATTCAACCGAGAGCACGCAAAACTAGGACAAGAAAGCTGTTTTGATGTAATAGCGATCATTTTTCGTCGTCCTTGAAAACAGGCAGTGCAAAAATGTTCCAACGAATTGAAAAAAAATAACCAACCACATACTTTTTTTTCTAAACATCTTTTTTGACAGCTATTCAACTCGGAAATACGCACCAATCATTGAAACAAAGTAATACTGTGTGTGGAGGAATGTTTGGAATCAACGTTTTTTAATAAGGGACGAAATTAATCACATAAAAAATCAGACGGTAACTTGAATATTGAAACTTTATTCAACCTGGTGCACTCCTTTCTGCACCCTTCCGTGAAATTTTATTTAAATTTGTTGCTCTTGATCATTTATTTTTTCACAATACTGTATACAGTACTTTTGTTTGAATACGTGCAAATATTGGTCAAGCTTCCAGAATAGCTGGGGAATTCTTGTCATTCCATTTCGGAATCAGTCTTGGCTTATACATATACGTACAAGCACTCAAGTGTTCTTTGTACAACTGGTACAGCACTGTAATTTCCCACGAACATTTCAGTCTTTCCCACGAAACAATTACGCAAAACTCATCCCTCCAATCCATCCTCATTCCCTGAAAATTCGGCACAAAGCCGCACTTTGCCCAGTTTTCCCCGGGGCAGCGGAAATTCATTATATCCTCGCAGACAATAAAAGTACCATCTTCTATAGCAAAATCCAAAGACAGGAAAAGGAAAACAGGAATCTGCCCGAGGCCCTTGTCCTGCTCTGGCACATTGAACAGCACAAGATTATTGAGAGATGTTCGCGTAACTGACCTGAACAAAGTGGTACATCCGGACTCCATTTGCCATCCGGCCCGCAGACCGCAACCCGGGACCCGTCCAGCCGGTAACCAGGGCTGCACCCGAACTCGATTCGACTTTGATAAACGTAGCCGTGGTTCGGGCTGACAATGAACCCATTTTTCGGGGCTCCGATGGTCGGGCACCGAACCGCTGAAGAGGTTTTTTTTGTATCAATAAAAGATTATCGCGAGGAGAAATGAGGCTGTCAGCTTATTGATCCGATTTCGAACCCGAACGGATTTATAAACTTTTCAAACGTCTTATTGCGTGCAGAAAATGAGATCATTATTATAATGCAGATACTGTATTAGCAAGAAAAAGCAATTCACGATCGGGCTTCTCTCTAGTCGACACTTTTTAATGCTAAATTCTTTTAAATTTGTCTTTTCAGAGTGAAGAAATAAAAACGAAATGAAGTTTTCATTTTAAACTGAATAATTTAAGGAAACATCTTTTATCCGGTTTTTCTTTCGCATGTTCTTGAATTTATCCACTTATTTAGAGCTGAAGATTGAAATCTCGACAATTTTCCGCCAAATAATATGGGCAATTGTTAGAACATACTCCCTGTTTCGAAGCACAATTTTCAAAAATTTTGCGATGTAATTTCGCGTGCAAATTACGTAATAATGATTGGAACACGTGCGTTACTGAGCTGATCAACTTCTTGTATACCATTAACTGTATTTTCAACAAGAAACGCAGAAAGCCCATCAATTCGGAATTTTCAGTTAATCACTAGATAAGTGAGTTTCATGAGATTAATTGCGACAAAAGCTTTATTACAGGTAAAAAAATACAAGTCTTGCGAATCCACAACGTACCTCACAAGCACCTACTTTATTCCGGCAGCTCAGACCAAATCGTCCTTGATTAAAAGGATCTCAAGACAGGATAAATATATAAAAAGAAAGACGAAGAAGAGCTAATCAACTGAAGCAATGACCCAGCATTTTTTTTTCTCGAAAACTAATTGAATGAAAAAAGACGGAAAATGAGAAAATAGCTCACGGCTGCAAGTAGGTGCGGATCCACTCCATTCGCTTCCATAGTCGCAATAGCGTTTCGATGCACCGAACAGATAAAAACCCAGGTCACATTCGTAAGAAACTGTCGAGTTTTCTTTGTCGAGGATAATTTTCCCGTTAGCTAAGGGCTGTCAGGGAAACGACAAAAACAATCCTTTGCTCAAACGAAGGACAATTTGCGTGAAGATTAAAGGAGTAATCCAAGTAAGCAAAATTCTGGTTTGTTCAAGTATGTTCGCAGACATTCGTGGCACAGAAAAAAAATGCAAATACTTTAGTGCTATGAAAAATCAGCGTTTTTTAAGAGCCAGTTCCCTCAAAAATTCGACGACGACTACTCATTTATAAACCATAACTCCATGAATTGAGATTATTTAAATGCTGGGGTTCATTTCCTTTTTCATTTAAAAAGGAAATTAGAGAAAATTTATTGACGAGAAAGCACATTCACGCTTATATAAGAGGAATTTTGGATTTTTGAACTCATTCGGTTAAAAGAAGCGAACTTTTTTCAAAATTCCTGATGAATAAATAAAAATTACGCGTACATATTTTGCAGTGATTTGAACTCATTTCTCAGCTCGCTTGAATCAAAGCATTCCTCTTAATTTCATCTTTATTTTCCGTCTTCAAAATTAATGGCAGCTCCAGTGACATTCCAAGACACCTCTAAAAAAATGGAATGAATCATAAATTGAATTACAGACTGGTTAGATTACGTTTAAAACTTTTGGTTTACACCTGGATTTTTAAATTCAATTAAACATCGGAAATGAAATAATGAATATTATGGGGTAGAAGTGGTTATGGGTGATTTTTTTTTCCACGTGGATTTACTTTCTCTGGAAACTCATTCACACACTCTATGGAAACACATTTTAATACCGGTAATAATACCGAAAAACCTATGAAATATTCTGACAAATTCTAAATTAAATTGGCTCACGAATTCAAAAAAAAAATGTTTGTAACACATTCGAAAAAAATCAGTCTATTTTTAACTTTGGTTCGGGTCTGGAAATGAAAAGCTGTCATTTGACGCAATTTTCTATTTTTTGAAGAGCAATATCTTAATTCTTTTGTGGATCGCTAGGAATTATTTTTGCTGACCTCAGGTTGACCACACGGTTTCCGTCGACACGTTGGAAGTTTGCCGACCCAAGTTCCGTTGGCAGCGCAAAATACGGCGGCGTTTGGCTCATCCATGATGAAATTTGGCCGACAGGTATAATTAGCATAGTATCCGAATTCTGCGAGTTCCCAACGTCGAATTCCGTTAGGAATGAATGGAGGGTTAATGGAGGGTCCTTGCAAACAACTCTGCTGCACTCAATTCTGTCAAACAAAAAATTAATGAAATAATTCTAAAATGTTCAAGATCATAACATGTGTCAATATTTTAGATCGTTAAATATCGGGATTTTACAGGTAATTTTCGTCTGCATGAGTCACACGATCAACAATCGGATTTATTCTCTCAGTTTCTTTTTTTTAATGCCAAGACAGTCTTGAAAAGTATTTTTGAACGGTAACAATCGGGATTTTCTTTTCTTTACTATCCCTTGAGTCACGCCTTAACAATTGTATTCATTTTATCAGCTTTAATATTCTTAAAATATCAGCACTGGAATATGTTCCTGTGTATTTACGTCTCGTGCAAAATTTCCACGCAGTGATTTGCATCTGAGAGAAGCACAACAGAAAAAGGGCATCTCCTCACATTTGCATCATCGGCCTTATGCAAGTGGTGTGATCTGCTGTTTGTGCAAAAGAATCACGGACTAGTGCAGAAACTCTAAAGCCCTTTTGGATCCTTGTCTCGTTTCAGGCAAATAAGATGAGAACTGGCGGAAGAAGCAACGTTGCTCCAAAAATAAGCTAGTTTTTGCATAAAAAACTTGTTCAAGAAATGTGCTGACGCAGGTTTTCGTCTATAATACGGTAAGTCCAAAATTTCTCGCAACACAGAAATCTTCATGACAACTCGTTTATTATTTTCATTTGAAAAAAAAAACCGTTGATTCTCAAGTTCTGTACATGAAACGGTATCCAGCAAGTCATTGAAATAAAAATAAATGAATGGCATGTTATCAAAAAGAGACGCAAATCCTTTTTGTTTAATATTTTTTGAGCATACAAATATTAGAACGTTACGTTCCAAACACATACATCACAGATATTGAAAAATTAGGATACAGCACAATTTAAACCTTCCGGAATGGACTAAAAAGGGGAAAGCTACTTGAAAAATTATGTAGATATTATGGGGTAGTTTCATCTTGAACCCGAAGTAATTTGATCTTCAAATTTGGTTTCCATTAGCTCAAGTATACATTTCTGAGAGAGAACAAATTTATGCGCTAAAATAAGGTATCTGTAATTGGGATATTTATTCTCTCTAACCATATGATAGAATCGAAAGCACATACGAGGCATCATGTAAATTTTTTCTAAAGAAGAAACATTAAAAATCACGTTCGATGAAAGAAAAAAAAATCATAATCTGACGCATTATTTTCCAGTTGCTTCTATAAACTCTCACTAGAACTGATAAAAACGACAGAACTTTCGTACTGACCCTCGTGCAAAATCAAATGCTGGTTCTCTCATTCTGAATTTCCTCGGAAGAAACATACAAAAAATCACGTTCAGTTGAAATAATAATCGCGTTTCCTGCGAAAAAAAATATCCAGAATTTTTTTGTCTTCACTTGTTGAATGAGCATCAAGGAAAAAAAAATCAACACTTGAGCAACATATACATAATATCGAAAACGTTTCTTACTTGACGACATTTTCCCAAAAGCCGTGTCGACAGAAGATTGTGTCGGTGTCGCGGAGCCGGAAGCCCTCGAGGCAAGCGTAAACAGCGACGGCTTGTCCATTTCTGAGGTGCGTGACATTCCGCGTGGTAAACCGGAAATCCGGTGGGCGTCGGGATCGACAGTCGTGGGGCACGCAATTAGGACCCTGTTTGAACCAGGAGGCGTCGCTTTCGCACTTGATTTTCTGCCCCAACATCCGCCTCCTGCGTTTTTTCTTATTATTCCTCGAGGCGGTTCTCGAATCTGACGATGCTTCAGCCACTGAAATATTTTGAAATGGCAGTACGATATTGCGCAATATTCGAGATTTGTCAAGCTTCAGCCTTTTGTAAAGAAAGAATAAATCGATCCAGAAATTTAAAAAAATATGATGGGAATAGGAAGAAAATTGCTTCACATGGAAATTTATAAAATATGCGAACGACTCAAGCAAACACGACGTGACATAGAACTTGAAAAATATGCCTCCAAACTTCCGGATTTCATTCATACAGAAACCGAACATATTGAACGAAATTATGAAAGTTTGCAGTACAATATTTTTGAACCATTATGGTGCTTAATTTATTCCTAAGAATTTCAAGAGCAACTGCATAAATTTCAATTTTTATAAAATCCTTCCACGTCTGCGGTTTCAGTAGAAACTTGGAAATCATATTATTCAACCCCATAACTTTACATCTTGAAAATTGGGCTGGGAGTTCTTCCCTGAGTATTTATTTACATAATTTTTACATTCATGGAACACACGTTAAAATACTCGAATAGCGCTCGAAATATTTCCAACGTTTTTTTGTTCATGAATTATTATTGTTGATTAAAATCACTACGATGGATTAAAAAAAACGGAGGAAAGGTTTTGGTTACAATCTCGACCGTGTATTTTGCGAACTAAAATTTCCCGTTCACCCAAAAAAAAACCCAAACATTGCAAAAATGATTTACTTGATTTTTTCCTGACTTTCTCATCCACCAGCAGACGATTCCCCGGTGTGCACGCATATCTGACGACAGTGCCAAGAATGTTATGGATCCCGTACGGGTAATCCGTGTCCACAATGTAGGAATTATTCAGCAGCGATGCCAATTCTTGCGGATCGCATTTGATCGGCTCGCAGCTGGGTTGAATCACTGCCGATTCACCTTCCGGGGTCCAGTGCCCATCCGGGGAACAAATCTTTCTCTCTGGTCCCTGTAAAATATTCAGCAAACATTAGTTCCAATTGTATTTTTATGATGACGTGGGAAGTGAGAAATGCTCAGCGACGTGAATAAGCTCCCATTAATGCAGTAATTATTGCCAATAAGAACGAGCAGCTCATAATTTTAAAGCAAATCGAGGGCGGAATTATTTTTTCTACGACAATCATTTATTGCTCAATTACATTTATCGAATCTGTTGTTGTATTTCTTTATTGTTGAAAATTGAAATAAGCCGTAGAGCTAAAAATTACAGGATTAGAAAGGCGCCAGGAAAATGGCGGAACTTTGGGAAAGTTGGGGGTTTGATGGGACCAAGCGCAACCTTGGGTTCCCACAAGATTCTGAATTCTTGGGGATTTAGAAGGATAATATGTTCAGGGACAAAATTGCCATGGAAAAGAAATTGCATAAATAGCAAATCATTTCTGTATTGAATCATCAGTTGCTTCTGTGTTGTCTTGCGTAAAAGACTGCTTGCAAAAACTGCTGTTGTCAAACAATCCATCAAAATACCTGAAAATACATCAACCTTATACAATACACTAGGGTGTTAAGCACCCCGGCCACAGCCCGGCTGATAGTTGTCTAAATTTCATTTCAAATCATTGAAAAAGAACTAAGTAAAACAAATCAGCTAACCAATTCCATTTCCAATATTTATGAATAATTTACTGATGAACTCACTCATCGTGAATGTCGTGATAGCCTTTTAAAACTGTGAGTTTTGCAATCACTCAATTAGAATTGCGGAATGCTACAAGTTACTATCTGGAATTCCTTTCTAAGCATTCATCAGTTCAATTTCAGACCATAGCGTTTTCAGAAAAATGAAAAATTTCAATATTTGCAGATTGAACAAAACCCTTCTCACCCGCGAGCCTAAGAAAAACAAAACCAAGTACTCTACCCTTTATGTTTAATTTTTTCTTCTTGAAAAATGTATTAACGTGTGTTTAGATCATTTAGTGAGTTTCAACTCGCGAAGTTTTGCAGATAAAAAAAAATTACTTTTACATTATCGTCTCACCTTGAGTTTAAATCCATAATTGCACTGGTGTACCAACACGTCTTCTGACCTCGACACGACTCCTCTACCTTCGTCAAAATCTTCACTTCCGCCCGGAAATTCGCATTGAATTCTCGAGCAATCACCGGAAGCCGTCCATTCGTACCGCTTGGCAACCCTGTCATAGGCGCACTTCACACGGCCGTCGCCATTTCGAAGACCGAATCCACTCTTGCATTCAATTGTCCAGTTATTTCCTGAGGCCTTAATAAAAGCGTTCTCGAAATCTGTAGGAGTCTCAGTGCCACAAGGATGTTTGCATTTGGGCTCAGGCAAAGACCAATGACCGTCGGGAAGACAAACCCGGGTACTGTGTCCCTCAAAATCCAGGATACCCGGGGTTTCGCAGGAATACACAGCGATTCCTCCCACGCTTCTCGAAATCGTGTTGATTTTCGCTCCGGATGAAGAGGTTTGGTTCAAAACTGGACACTCGGTTTCCGAACACGTCAAAGTCCCGAACCAGGTTCCATTCTGTAAACAAGTCATGGTTCCTGTCGCTGCTGCTGATGGAACCCCGTGGAACTTGGGTTCAAAACCCTGAGCACAAGCCAGTCTCAACACGTGTCCCACTGGGAATTCATCGACAATAAGCTGTTGCTGCTGATGATGATGATGTTGGGTCTCGATTTCCGCGTGGTTTGGAATTTTCGGGGCATCACACGTCACCTTGACACATTCTGGTTCCCTGGATGGGATCCACTTTCCAGATATCGAGCAAGCCTTGACTCCTAGAGAGACATTGTCCAGCTTGAAGCCAGGGTCGCATTTATAAAAAGCACTGCGACCAGAAATTGTCAGGTTCCCGTGAGTAATTTTTTGCAAATCCGGACATGAAATCTCTTCACATCGTATCACGGATCCTGAAAGTGTGCCATTTGTTAAACAGGTCCTGATGGTTACTGATGTGTCCTCATTATCATTGGCAGCAATGAATCCGTGTTTGCATCGGTAGCTGATTGATTGATTGACTAATAATGTGTTGCCGCTGATGCCCGATTGATTGTGGACGAGAGCATTTTTTGGGACAGGCGGAATTTCGCAGAGATTCGCCACACAAGCCACTTTTCCAGAAGGAACCCACCTTGAAGACTCACAGGTGATGGAAACCTCTTTTTGAAATGCATGGTACCCCTGGTCTTTGTTGCAACGAAGTTTGAAAATGGTTCCCTGCTGAAAACCCTTCATTTCAGAATGCACCACAAGCAAGGATTCCGATCCCTGAACTGATGGCTCCCAAATTCCGTGACTTAAATCCGGGGTTTCCGGACACAAACTGGGGACACAGGATCCAAGGACGTTTGACCAGTTCCCAGAATGCAAACAAGTGACTTTGGAGGGCCCGAAAGCGACAAACCCGTCGTCACACTTGAGCCAAGTCGATTTCCCGGAAGTGACACCACTCGACGAGAGAACCCCGTTGTCGGGGTTCTTCACGATCCGAGGACACGTCACTGGGTTGCAGGAAGGAACCTGGGCTGACCAGGACCCGTTATTGGAAAAGCAGGTTATTTTTGGCGAGCGTTCCCATGAAAAGTAACCCGGGTCGCAGGTGAAACTGACTTCCAAATCAGCACCGTCGTCAATTTGCGAAGGTGTCCAGCTGAGAACAGTACCGTGCTGAAAGTCGGACAAACCCTTGCAGGGAAATTTCACGCATTTCGGGACTGGGTTGGTCCAGGACCCGTTGAGACATTCGGAAAAATTTCTTCCGACCATTTCGAAATCCGGGTCACACTCGAACACCACGAATTTTCCACTGGTTTTGGTCTTAAACCCCCCATTTTCAAAGTCCTTCACGTCGAATGGTTGGCAAGACATTTCCTCGCAAGTTGGCGGGGTTTCGGGGTTCCACTGACCATTTGGCGAGCAGCTCATTTGCAGGGAACCCGAGGAAATAAATCCTGGGTCGCATTGGTAAGTCACACTCGTGCCAACCGGAAATTCGTGTTCCGGATTTGAAACCAGGAATGAATTGGGACCCTTCGGAAAAGGCTCTCGGCATTTGATTTCCTCGCATTTCAAAAGTTCCGGTTTGAAATCGATGTGCCAAATTCCAGCGGAACCGCAAGTTGCAACCAAGTTTTCGTCGGGCTCGGAAACAAAACCTGGACGTTTGGTCAAAACCCCTCGGGTACCATGAGGAAAATTACCTTCGGAATCAGACTCTTCATCATATGTAACCTTGATGCAGTCAAAATCTATGAGAAAATTTTCCAGGGGATGGCAAAACTCTGGTGCACATTCTCCCAGTGATGAAGACCAAGAACCATTTGCAAGACATGTAATTGTGTCTTCGCCTTTGACCTGATAGCCAATGTCACAGTCAAATTTTATGGTTGACCCGATTGATGCGTCCGCTGAGTGGAGGTATCCGTTTTCTGGTGCGGAAGGTCTTGGGCAAAATCTTTGTTCGCAGACAACCTGGAGATTGAAGAATAAAAGATAGTCGATTATTTTTGGAAATTCAGAAAAGTATCCTACAGAGAAAAAGTTCAATGCAGGAAGCATGCAAAAATTTTTTTTTTACACAGAGTTCGGCATAAATTCGCTGATCATCTTTCTAATTATTCTTTCAAATTCACGTCATTTTCTTCACATCTCATCCGGCGTGGATAGATGTCACTGGCTGTCGCGTTGGCTTTTCAATTCCCGAAGAGTCAGTTTGAAAATACTTCTTAATCTAAGTTTATCCCGTTATTCATTGATGAAATAAAAAATGAGGTTTTTTTGTGGTTTTCTGATGGGGTTTTTAAATGAATAAGCAAACAAGACCAATATTTTCATTTTTGCTTAGTAGAATTCCTCTAAAATCTTCTGGACGCATTAACAACAAACGGTAAAGAAATCTTAGCAAGAAAAAACAACAAACATTTATAGTCATATTATGCAGCAATTATAAAAAAATTATGGTTAAGGAAAAAACTCAGCACCGTTTTCGGAAATCAATTTTAATCACGCCCGTTCATTTATTCCGAATCAATGTTGAAAATTTTTTCTTTCGAATAATGGATCATCATCAGAATGATAATTATTAAAAAAATGATAAGCAAAAAATTAATTGACGCTTGAGCCACACTTCTGCTTGTCAGAATCCTAATTTTCTTAAATTTTGTTTCTTTTGATATTGCCCCAAAATTACCACGAATACGTTAAAAATGTAATAGATCATAATGTCCTTGGCGATGTTAATTTATAATTTTTATCTAATTGAAATCATTTCATTCTAAATAAAAATGGGAGAAGAAAATGGTTTTCTGGACGCATTAATGTAGTTCAATCTTTTGAAAAATAATCTCATTTGACTAAAAATTTATTAGTTACATGGATGAAATATTTGCTTTCTTGTTTTTTGAAAAAGAATGACATTGTAGATACCTGAGGAATGTCCGGGATCCAAGTGGCATTTGCAGAGCACTGCGCAAACCCGCTTTCGATCGTCAGACCGAAGCCCAGGTCGCAGCTGAATTGCACGATCGACCGGAAGCGGAAGTCCCCGCCAATTACCCTTCCATTAGGGATCGAAGCAATCCCAGGGCATGCAACAGGCTCGCACTGCGGAACTTCCGGCCCCGGAAGCCAGGTCCCGTTGATGGAACAAGTTCGGGTTAAACTTTCCATCGCCCTGAAACCCGGCGGGCACTCGAAGGTAATTTTCATCCCGACTTCACTGAATCCGGAAGAGGAAAAACTCGACGGAAGGGCGACATCCGAATGGGTTATCGATGGACGAGGGCAACCCACGGGTGTGCATTCCGCAGGTGACCCACTCCACATGTTGTTCCCGAGGCAAACCCGTCGCCAATCCCCACTGGACAACTCGAACCCGTCGTCGCATTCCACGACGAGAGCAGAACCCAATCCATGACCCGTTACTGTGACATTTTTCGCATGCTTGAGTGTCAGCTCTAATCGTGATGGGTCGCATTCGATGGGTTCGCATGTCGGGGGAACCCGGCTCCAGTTCCCGTGTTTCGTGCACAGGGTTTCTGGATCCCCGCGCATCTGAAACCCGGGTTCGCAGGAGAAAACAGCCGAAAGAATCCCAGGGGAAATCTTTCGAAGGAAATACCTGCAAAGAAATGTATCGAAGCTTTAATCGGATCGCGATTATTTGAAAATTTTCACAGCAATTCCTCAGATAACGGACGCCTCGGACAACAGCCTCAGGGTAAACTCGACTTTTATATAGAATAATTAAATTGGGACTTTCTAATTGATTAAATTAAATTAGGGCAATTTTCCAAATAATCCCAAGTTTTCCCGGCATCACTGTCAAGTGAAAAAAAATAGTTCTATTACGTTGAAGATTGTTTCTGCGTGGTTCATAGTGTTTCTTTTGTTCTATATTTTATAACTCTGAAAGTCCATTTCTTTATTACATTATTCATGATTTTCGTCATAAAAATTGAAATTATTGATGGAGGAGCAGATGTGGTCAATTTCGGTGGTTCGTGCTTCGTTCAGGCAAATTATATCCTGCCCAAATCGATCAAAAATGAAGATTCCAAAATTTTAAAACAGCTAGTGTTGAGTGCCAAAAAAATCCTCTCCGATCATTGCTGCGAACACGGTGTTCATTGTAACGAGATTTTCACTATACCTGCGATGTTTCATTTCCGGTATCATCTGACACGCATTCCGCACGCATTCTGGGAAACGGGACTCCACTGGATGCCATTTCTTGTCATCTCCGCAAATTATACCTTCTTCACCTCGCATCGAAAAGCCGTCTTTGCATCGGTAAAATAATCTGGATGACAGAAGGTGGTTCTTTCCTCTGCTGAGAGGAGCAACTGTGAAACGCGTGTCAAGAATGGCGTGGCGGAAATTCGGCGGGTTTTCGCACTCAATCGGATGGCAAATTGGCAAGAGTCTCCCCCACGTTCCATCGGCCCTGGAATTTGGATTCATTTTCAATTTTACCTCCATCGGTAATTGAAAAACAAACAGAAATCGTCCTTTACACATACGCCTATCATAAAAGAGCATTCCTGAAATTTCCGCGGAGAAAAAAACCCGGCCGTCAATTTCTTACATTCAAGAAAAAAATACAGAAGGTTAAATTGGGGATCTGAACATCTGATTATCGGTCACGTTGTAAAATATTTGTTATTCGGTACAGACTTTTTGAAAATACTTTCAGCTAGAAAAAAAACAGCCATTCTCCACACTAATTTTCACTTGAAAAAAGTGGGTTTTCGTTGCTTATAGGCGTAAAAAACATGACTGTAACCTCGCTAATCTTGGGTTCAATTCGCAAAAAGGTTCCATGGAAAATGCCCAGAAAATTACACACCCTATATTGAAACATTTTAGGCCACTTTGAAATGTAAGTATTTTACTGGTGCCGCGCAATGACCTTGGTTGAATAATTTAATTGAAAAAACAATTACGTTGCTTCTACGCGAAGATATTCTTTTTTTGCTTGAAAAATACAATCTCTGATCAGTAGGGAAAAAATAAAATAGCGACTGACCACGTGCGAAAAACCCCCTAAAAATACTGCGGGCAAAAAAAAAAAAAAACATGGGTTGCTTCTTTTCAACTACGAACCTGCAAAACGGAGTGTTCGAGTGTGTGATGTTGTGCTCGAGCCAGAACCCTTTTTGACAGGTAATTTCGACTTCCTCGCCCAGACCCCATGGCCCTCGGGCAGCCGAAATATTCGCATTGAAAACCGGCGGGAACTGCGAACACACAGACTTGACGCATTTTGGCACATCATCTCCCCAATGGGTTCCGTGTTCCGGGCATTTCAGTTTTCGGTTTCCTTGCAGCGTGAATCCTTCGTGGCACGAAAAAATCGCGACAGTTGGTCCATTATCCGCGATCATTTTCACGTCGCCGTTGCGAAATTCAGGACGTCTACACGGTTTTACAGCACATGAAGGAAAGGTTTCCCCGGGTTTCTCTGGGACCCAGGTTGCGTTTTGGGAGCATCGCAAAGTTCTGCGACGGCGACGAGGCGAAGAGGAGAATTCGAACCCTGGCTTGCAGCGGATTGTAGCAGAATCCCCGAGAGAATCCCCAGAAGAAGTGGAAAGGAACCCATTCGAAATCTCGATTGAGTTCAGAGGACACGAGACTGGGTCACACATGGGGATGCTTTCGATCGGCCATTGATTGTCTTCTTTGCACAATACAATTTCTTCGCCGAACATTTCAAAACCGGGCTCGCATTCCAAAGTTAACGACTTTCCTGGGACAAAATCTACCGATTTCGCATTTGGTATCCTTGAAACAAAAAATTGAAAAAATCAACATCGAACCCATCGCGCAACTCGATCTCAACCTCTGAACAATTTTACAGAAAAAAAAAGATAATTATGATTTTTTAGGCCATTATTTTTCGTGAAATTTTCGATCATAATACACTTCTCACATTGTATCGGAAGCCCGGTGAACGAATTAAGCCAATGTTTTCTTTTTGGAACCTTCGTGTGCTGTCCAATAAAATGGAATAAAATTTGAGATTTGGTTAATTATGATTATTTCTTGGTTTTTCAGAGCTCCACATTTTTTTTTCATCACGAAGATTCAGATGGTAATGACATAAAAAGTCGTATACGAGGAAATCGATCATCGGCGGTTGTATATGTCAGACTCGTACTTCTTACCATTCGGCAGTTGAAAATAATTTCAAACAAATGTTGAATCCAAAAGCTATGATTTCCCAAGAAAATTAGTCCATTCCTGCAATAATTGTACAGATTCTGGAGACCGTATTATCATGTCCATTGGTGAGCATGCAAATTCAAAAATATCGGGCGAAATCCGAGAAAATCGATTGCAATAACATTTCTTTACACGATCTTTTTACAATAATACTGCATTCTACATCTCCAAGTTTTCACATTTGTGGTCTTACTAGTCAATTTTAAATCAGATAATCATGCACCAAAATAACGAAATACAAGTTTAAATCATCCCTTTACTGAGTAAAAATTACCCGAAGGCTTATGCAACTTTTTGAAGGCCCAAGGATAAAGAGATCACTATATAACAGCAGTGACATCTATGCACAGATTAGAACGTAACCAAAATGTATCACTGTACCGTATTTGATACACGCAAGCTAATGAACAACATCATCACGCGAGATGCTATCAATTAAAGCTCCTCTTGTCTGTACAGTATATACACAGAAGCTTTAACCAGCAAATTAACTCACTTGGGTTCGAAGTAGCAGCTGGGTTGAATGCAAGCTGGAACCCGAGGACTCCAGGTGCCCCGAGGCGAGCATTTCACGGCAGAGTTACCAACTAATAATAGACCTTCCAGACATTCAACGCCCACTACGTCGTCAACTAAAATCATTCCACCGGAATCTTGGGAATTTGTGACGAATTGCACGTTCGAAGACATTTCCTCGAGTTGGCAGGACTTTGCTGTGAAGCGAAAATTTATGATCGATATTTTAGGCCTCGAAATAAAGATTTCATTTTTTAGTTTTTGCATGGTTTTTTTTTTGTGAAAATTATACAGCCTAGATAGGAGAATTACAATGTATTGAAGACCAAATTTAATTTGAAATAATATTTAATTGGATCATCTCGGCGTAATTCTTGAAATTCAGTACTGTACAGTATTTTTACGAAAATAGATTTTTCAATGTTTTGCTACTTTTGCTTTAAAAATAAGCATATATATATATGCATATTTACTCATTTATTTATGAATATCAAGCGACGGCCAAGAGATTGGATGAAATACAACATTAAAAGGATTAAAAGTCAAATGATCTTCATATATTCAGAATTCCCAGAAATGTTTCATAAAATCATTTCGAAGGGAGTTTTATTTTAAGTTGACGAAATAATGAACCAAAGCTGATCTGATCTTCATTCACAGGATCTTTGTTAATAAGAGATCTCCAAACATGTATACCTATGCAAGACGGAGGTTTCCCACTCCATTTCCCGTTCGCTAAGCAAGTGAGCTCCAGATCCAGGTGATCCTCTTTCAAGTAGTACCCACTCACGCAAGAAAATCTCACCACGCTTTCGAATTCGTACTTGGTGCCTTTGATGAGGCGATAATCCACTTCTTTCGGCTGCCCCAAGAACTCACAAGGGATCCCTGCCACGCGAGGATCAAAGGAGGAAAACTTGTTTTACTCTTTCTTTTTTAACATTATTCTACGGAACGGAGGTGAGAAAAAAAAAAGCAGTGAAGTCACCAGAAAAAAAAAATAAGAGGCAGGAACCCGAGCCCAGGACTTGATCAAAGCCCAAGCAGCATGAAAAGCAGATGAGGGCATTAACTCGGAGCGCGTGAAGAATATCAAGCATAGTCAAGGTTTATGAGAGCCAGCACAAAGTAACACCAGTCAATTCATCACACATATATACACACTGTTTTTTTTTTTGCTGTATCAGCTCATCACGAAAGTATTCCTCGGGATATTCAAAAGGTGAAGAGCCCCAAATTAGCTTCCAAGCTATTGCACGCGAAGTCTTTTTGGATTGCAGTCAAAGTATTTATCTTTTGTTAACTTTTTTCACCGTTTCCCGAGTATTTGAGTGATTCTCTGAATTTGCTTGCTAATGAGGCCTTTCAATGTTCATAAAATCTGGGGAAAAAACCAACATTCTTGATTCCCTTATTCAGGAATTAGCTGGCTTACCCAATTTTTTTAGCACGCCGTGACATGGGTGGATAACTCTGGCTGTAACTGGAAAGTTTTCACCTGTCTGCCGTTCAGTATTAAATAATTGTTAAACCGACCGCAAAATTCAATTTTTTTTTAGCTTGCCTGACAAATTTTCATCAAGACCTTATTTCGGGAAATGGGTGAAGAACTGCTCTGGATGAAACACTGACAAATTTTCAGCATCATGCAGTAAATTCGTTAACTGTTTTAAAATAATAAGTAAAATCTCAGAGCTTTAAAACATGATGGGATGTGCAAAAAAAATGTCAGCAGTGTTTTCAATCGCACCTATTCTGAAAATGTCAGAGATCACGTCCAACTGGGACAACCCTCTCGTATTCAATTAACCTTCTCTCTAACTCTCACTAATTTGTTCATTCAACTAAACCTCGTACAGAAACAAGCTGAAGACCTTGTGCTTTAAATTAATTTTTGCAAATATTTTGTTTCCAATGTCAGGGAATGAATGGGTGTATGCATACATGTCAGATGTCCAGTTGTATTTCATGGATTGTATTTTCTTTTATTTTTGTCATCAATTTGTGCTACGTTTCCTGCTCTTAAGTGATTAAATGTCATTGACCTGATTTGGATTGGGTGGGAAGGGGGTTTGGTTGTGGAAATCTTGATTGAACCTTGTGAATGCTGAAAAGCGGCAAATAAAGCATTCTGTTCATTCATTCATTCATTTGATTAACCGTCAAATCCCACAGCACATCAAATTCATATGTTTGCCAGCCGATAGAAAAAAAATTCCAACCAACTTCAGTCTTAGTTGCAAAAAAATTTGTTATGGCAGAAAGAGGTCTTGGGGTGGCACCCATATCATCAGAAGCAAGCAGCTGAATACTTTACAGTACATAAGGGAAGAAACTCACTTTCGCAACGAGGTACTGGTTCATTCCAGGATCCGCTGATCATGCACCGACGCACTTTCGCGCCGATCAACCGGAAACCGTCGTCGCAGGAAAATGCGACTTCCTCTCCTGGACTTCCGAGTGCACCTTGATGATTATCCGACGCAATCCCATGAGTGAACGGCACCCAATCAATCGGGCACCCAGAGCATAAATCTCCCATTTCCACCTTGGAAAGCGCAGATGATGAATCTTGATTATGCTTCAATTTCACTGCCTCGTCGCTTCAAGCAGTTTACAGATTTCTATCGATGGATCGATGAGGGCTATTACATGACACTATATACATTACGAAGAACTTCGAAAAACCCATAGCTTTTTTTAAGGTTTGTCGTCAGGATTATTTGTTAATTTATTTTTTATATACACGAAATGTTTCACTGGACAAAACTAAAGAAATGCGAAAATAGTTTTAAAATACTACAATAATGTTGCAATTTCTTTAAATGGTTCAAAAATCGCAAGAACAGTAATTTTTGTCTCATTCTATAGCTTTTTTTCTTGGTTTTGGTTGAATTGATACATACAGGGCGGAAATAAAAAGGATATACAGTATCAAGAAATATTTTCCAAAATTATTTTTTTCTCACAATGAAGGCTGTCATCCTAGTTATATGTAGCTTTACAAATTCTACGAGCAAAAAATTAGAGGAAGATCTATTTATCATAATATTCATGGCTGTCTGAGCATTTCAAAATATTTTTGTCATGCTCGAGGAATTGATTCGGGGCTGAAATACATAATTTATAAATCATTGATTAAGGGATCAATGATGGTTTCCTTTCTCCCAGATTTTATAAACTTTTGAAGGCNACGGTGACCAAGAGCGTGGATTAAATCCAACATTAAAAGGATTACAAGTCAAATGATCTTCATATATTCAGAATTCCCAGAAATGTTTCATAAAATCATTTCGAAGGGAGTTTTATTTTAAGTTGACGAAATAATGAACCAAAGCTGATCTGATCTTCATTCACAGGATCTTTGTTAATAAGAGATCTCCAAAGATGTATACCTATGCAAGACGGAGGTTTCCCACTCCATTTCCCGTTCGCTAAGCAAGTGAGCTCCAGATCCAGGTGATCCTCTTTCAAGTAGTACCCACTCACGCAAGAAAATCTCACCACGCTTTCGAATTCGTACTTGGTGCCTTTGATGAGGCGATAATCCACTTCTTTCGGCTGCCCCAAGAACTCACAAGGGATCCCTGCCACGCGAGGATCAAAGGAGGAAAACTTGTTTTACTCTTTCTTTTTTAACATTATTCTACGGAACGGAGGTGAGAAAAAAAAAAGCAGTGAAGTCACCAGAAAAAAAAAATAAGAGGCAGGAACCCGAGCCCAGGACTTGATCAAAGCCCAAGCAGCATGAAAAGCAGATGAGGGCATTAACTCGGAGCGCGTGAAGAATATCAAGCATAGTCAAGGTTTATGAGAGCCAGCACAAAGTAACACCAGTCAATTCATCACACATATATACACACTGTTTTTTTTTTTGCTGTATCAGCTCATCACGAAAGTATTCCTCGGGATATTCAAAAGGTGAAGAGCCCCAAATTAGCTTCCAAGCTATTGCACGCGAAGTCTTTTTGGATTGCAGTCAAAGTATTTATCTTTTGTTAACTTTTTTCACCGTTTCCCGAGTATTTGAGTGATTCTCTGAATTTGCTTGCTAATGAGGCCTTTCAATGTTCATAAAATCTGGGGAAAAAACCAACATTCTTGATTCCCTTATTCAGGAATTAGCTGGCTTACCCAATTTTTTTAGCACGCCGTGACATGGGTGGATAACTCTGGCTGTAACTGGAAAGTTTTCACCTGTCTGCCGTTCAGTATTAAATAATTGTTAAACCGACCGCAAAATTCAATTTTTTTTTAGCTTGCCTGACAAATTTTCATCAAGACCTTATTTCGGGAAATGGGTGAAGAACTGCTCTGGATGAAACACTGACAAATTTTCAGCATCATGCAGTAAATTCGTTAACTGTTTTAAAATAATAAGTAAAATCTCAGAGCTTTAAAACATGATGGGATGTGCAAAAAAAATGTCAGCAGTGTTTTCAATCGCACCTATTCTGAAAATGTCAGAGATCACGTCCAACTGGGACAACCCTCTCGTATTCAATTAACCTTCTCTCTAACTCTCACTAATTTGTTCATTCAACTAAACCTCGTACAGAAACAAGCTGAAGACCTTGTGCTTTAAATTAATTTTTGCAAATATTTTGTTTCCAATGTCAGGGAATGAATGGGTGTATGCATACATGTCAGATGTCCAGTTGTATTTCATGGATTGTATTTTCTTTTATTTTTGTCATCAATTTGTGCTACGTTTCCTGCTCTTAAGTGATTAAATGTCATTGACCTGATTTGGATTGGGTGGGAAGGGGGTTTGGTTGTGGAAATCTTGATTGAACCTTGTGAACGCTGAAAAGCGGCAAATAAAGTGTTCTGTTCATTCCTTCATTCGATTAACCGTCACATCCCACAGCACATCACATTCATATGTTTGCCAGCCGATAGAAAAAAAATTACAACCAACTTCAGTCTTAGTTGCAAAAAATTTTGTTATGGCAGAAAGAGGTCTTGGGGTGGCACCCATATCATCAGAAGCAAGCAGCTGAATACTTTACAGTACATAAGGGAAGAAACTCACTTTCGCAACGAGGTACTGGTTCATTCCAGGATCCGCTGATCATGCACCGACGCACTTTCGCGCCGATCAACCGGAAACCGTCGTCGCAGGAAAATGCGACTTCCTCTCCTGGACTTCCGAGTGCACCTTGATGATTATCCGACGCAATCCCATGAGTGAACGGCACCCAATCAATCGGGCACCCAGAGCATAAATCTCCCATTTCCACCTTGGAAAGTGCAAAAGGATGAATCTTGATTACGCTTCAATTTCACTGCCTCGTCTCTTCAAGCAGTTTACAGTTTTATATCCATGGATCGATGGGGACTATTACATGACACTACATACATTACGAAGAACTTCGAAAAACTCATAGCCTTTTCCTTTAGTTCGTCGTCAGACCTATATAGTATGTTAATTTCTATTTTCTCAACACGAAATGTTTCACTGGACAAAACTAAAAAAACGCAAAAGCAGTTCTCAATAATACTGTTGCAAATTCCTTAAATGGTTCAAATATTGCAAGGACAGTCTTTTTGCCTTAATCTATAGCGTTTTTTATATACATGCAGGGCGGAAATAAAAAGGATATATATCAAGAAATATTTTCCAAAATGATTTTCTCTCACGATGAAGGCTGTCATCCTAGTTTTAAGTAGCTTTACAAATTCTACGAGCAAAAAATTAGGGGAAGATCTATTTATCATAATATTCATGGCTGTCTATCGTAAAGTTTTATAAAAACAGTACGAGCTCCTTAACTAAGCCCCGACTTTATGTATTAAATATTTAGTAACTAATTCCCTAGTTACTACCAAAGGAAAGAGGGTCTAAAATATTTGAAAACTTCCGCTTAAAAGTTTATAAAATTTCAGCAAGCAAATTGAGAGAAACACTCAAATACTCGGAAAACGGTGAAAAAAGTTTTTTTTAATGTACTTGGACTGCGTTATATACGGGATGAAAAAATTTACAAACCTTCACATTTCCTTGTCTCATCTCGAGGAAATCAGACCAGGTCATTAAATCTCCCTTGGGAGCGAGTTCACAGTTGAAGAAGTGTGTTTCTGGATTTCCCCAAACCTGCCCAGAGGCAAAACCGGTATTTTCAAGCCACGGTACAAAGCTAAATGCCTCCAGTTTCGCCAAAGTTCCGGTAAAACTCTCTCCCAAAGAAAAGGGCGGAGGCTATCACAGAACAAGAACCGGTTCTTGTTTTTGTGGAGCGGGACTTTTGTTCCTTTTAGTAAGTAAAGTAATAAACTTTGAACTGTACTGAAACACACGTGGAACTTTTTTAATATAACAATTGTCGACGCGCGAAAAAATTATGCCTTATGAAGGATACAATTCTTTATTATTCATTGCAGCTTTATAAAGTGATTTGAAGGAATAGTTTTCGTTTTGAAAAAGCTATAGAGAGTTGAAGTATAGGATTATGTGAAATATTGTGAAGGAATAGTTCGTTCAAAAATGATATAAACTAAAGTATTCCTGTAGGTTTCAGCACTTCAACGTGATTTCAAGGGATATTTGTCTGCTACGTTTTAATCAAAAAATTTTACTCACCTGATAAAGGCTTCTTTTCCGACAAACCATTCCCAAAATCAGCAACTTCTCCGTCCTTCATTAATGCCCATGTCCCATCAGAACTTCTCCATCCGACACACATGTGATGCCACAGACCGTCACCAGAAGACACATNTTCTCCCAGATTTTATAAACTTTTGAAGGCCTTAAAAGTTTATAAAATTTCAGCAAGCAAATTCAGAGAAACACTCAAATACTCGGAAAACGGTGAAAAACGTTTTTTTTTTAAATGTACTTGGACTGCGTTATACGGGATGAAAAAATTTACAAACCTTCACATTTCCTTGTCTCATCTCGAGGAAATCAGACCAGGTCATTAAATCTCCCTTGGGAGCGAGTTCACAGTTGAAGAAGTGTGTTTCTGGATTTCCCCAAACCTGCCCAGAGGCTAAACTGGTATTTGCAAGCCACGGTACAAAGCTAAATGCCTCCAGTTTTGCCAAAGTTCCGGTAAAACTCTCTCCCAAAGAAAACCCGCCTCCGATAGTGTCTTGTTCTTGGCCAAGAACAAAAACACCTCGCCCTGAAAACAAGGAAAATCATTCATTTCATTATTTGAAACTTGACATGACTTTGTGTGCACCTTGAAAAAATTATATTTAATTGCTGACGCGTGAAAACATACTACATAATGATGCATACAATTCTCAATTATTTATAGCAGCTTTATAACGTGATTTGAAGGATAGTTTTGTCTTTAAAAAGCTAGAGAGTATATAAAGCATAGAAATCTGTAAAGAAATGTGAAGAAATAGTTCTTTAATAAAATGCTAAAAACTAAATTACACATGTGTGTATATATAGGTTTCTTGAATTCTTTACAACAGCTCTTCAACGTGAGTTCAAGGAACACTTTTCTGCTAAATTTTAATTTAAAAAAACTTTACTCATCACCTGATAAGGGCTTCTTTTCCGACAAACCATTCCCAAAATCAGCAACTTCTCCGTCCTTCATTAATGCCCATGTCCCATCAGAACTTCTCCATCCGACACACATGTGATGCCACAGACCGTCACCAGAAGACACATTAGTGTTCCTCTCTTCTCCATTCACACTGAACACAAATCTGCGAAAGGAAAGAAAAAAGTTCAACTAGAGAACGCAGTTGAGTTCAAATTTGATCTGAAAGTGCTTCAACACACCCGTTATAGTTGCTGAGAGTAAATGCGTCTGGAGAATCTTCCGTGGAGTAAGAAAAAGGAGTTCCTTGCAAGTTTTCAACGACCTTGCCTTTGGGACTTCGCATCCAAAAGCAAATGAACAGTTCTTCGAGAAATTCTTTTTTTGCACGATTTCCGAGACCATAGGGAACAACGACAGCTGACCAAAGAGTCGACGGTGGTGTTGGGAAAGAAAGCTGATATTCTCCGGAAGTTTCTAAAAAGAAAACGAATGGAGTACGTTTTACAAATATGAATATTTCAAATATTGTATGAAACCTAAGTCTTCTGTGAATCGATTAATAGAAAAACTAAATTCCACAGTAAAATACATCTTGAAAAAAAATTTCGAGCTAAACTTTCGTCAAAAATGTTCCAACCAAAAATGATCATAGCAGTAATCATTACGATGTTCTCAATTTTTGTCTTGGTTTCACTTGTGCCGTCTTAAATTTACCAAGGAAAAGCCCAGTGGCCCTGAAATTTAAAACTGAGGTTTCGAATTCACAGAAATTAAAATTTTTTTTCAAAGGTCAAGTGAATTCCTCGTTAGATTTCTACCGAATTCGCAGAATTCCCCGCTTCTTCCAGGCCGACAAATGCACGTGAAATCTTTCCCGAAATGACTGGTGACTCGACGACGACAGAACCCATCACCCTGGCACGGGTTCGGGTCACAAAACTCTGCTTGAAGTTGACACAGATTCCCCGAGAACCCCGGAAGACACGAGCACCTGAAACGGAACAACAAACGCACTTCCGTGAACTCAGTTTCGGGAGAAAGTCAAATGAAATTATTCTCGTAAATTAAGGTCTGTCAAACATAATTTCCAGCAGTATTTCAAATTCCTTACTTGAAGGATTCTGGACCGTTTCTCTCGCATTTTCCTCCGTTTTTGCAGGGATTTGAGACGCAAACGTCTGGCAACAATTCGCACTGTGGTCCATCGAATCCGTCGGGACACAAACAGACCAAAACACGTTCCTCTCGTTTCGACAAATCAACGCAAGTTCCTCCATTTTTACAATTGTTTTCTTCAGGCTTGCAAATCCTTCGTTCACAATGTAGTCCTAGAATACGAAGACGGAATTCCCAATGTTTTTAATTAAAGCACAATAAAAAAAGGCTTGATTTTTGGGGATTTTCTGAAACGATCGAGATCTGTAAAAAAGGGTACAGCTAAAGTTGAACATATTCGTCACTTCTTATTTCTTCCGGAACAAAAATCATGAGGTATTTTACAGATTCAAATAAGCAAAAAGGACAAACATATGCCTTTAAAAATATTTTCTGAGTTGATGAATCATCAAGAATGAAAATTCCCAGGTGAAAATGTATGCATGCATCTTAGTGCAAAGAAGCAAATATTTTACATTTTCGTAATACTGTACAATCTTGAACAGTTAAATAATTAAAACTATAGAATTTGCTTGAAAAGCTCATTAACTTTTATCTATTTTTTTTCAACTACAGAACACCCAAAAGAAGAATTTAATCCAGAGAAAGTCGGGAACATCTTGTGCAAATATCTTGTTCAAGTTTCAAAATTAAATGAATCAAATGAAGATGCGCTCAATTAGGGTGAAATCAGAGTCATAATTTAATTAAAGAGCATATTAACTTACTTGTGATGAGCACTCCTGGTTATGCGTGAAAGAAAATTTTGTTATTATACGGCCTAATCCCTAATGGAATCATTAATTCCTCTGACAATTACCCGTGGGTTGAGCGAGATAAATGTTGAGCTTTATTCCTGTTATATTTCCGTTTCAAGTACTGTATCCTGCTTGCACAATTGGAACTCTGCAAACATTTGGGTAAGTATACAAAGGCTTCTCTGAGCTTGGCGAAAATTTAAATTCGGGAAAATTCCACCTTCTGAAAATATCATCAAATTTGAATATTTGTCACGCCTATATAGAGATAATTTGATTAACATTCCACTCACTAATAGGATATTTTTGTGTTTTCAAGTGCGAAGAATACACCGTTTTGTGCCTTTGTTTATTCTTTAAACGAGGTTTGTCAAATTTAAACTCTCCCCATCACATTTATTCAAATATTCGGTAATACTTCCCGAAAACGATAAAATGACCGTCACCTGACAATCAACATTTTCTTCGAGTTTCCATCTATAGCAACGTCCTGGAATTATGTATGCAACCAAAGACGAAGTCGTATATAAAATCAGAATTCCGAGAAATTTCGAGTACAGTATAATCCCATCGAAAAGCCGACAACGTCACAAATATCAAGCCATTTCCGAATCCCGTCCCTATCCTTGTACAGCAGTAGTATATACTGTATATACAACGAAGTCAAGTCAAGTCAGGTCTCCCAATATATACAGGGACTCGAAGCAGTCTTCCTTTCTCTCTGCATAAACCTTGCCTCCTTCCTAATTAAGACCATCATTTGGTAGGCGAGGAAGCAATCACAGGCAGTGTATGCAATGCTCGCTAAAAGAGGCATTCCCTGAGGCGAAGATCCTTACCCAGAAATCCCCGTGGACACTGGCACTGATACCCAGAACGATTCCCTGCGAGTGAGAAGCGGCACGTTCCTCCGTGGACACAAGGCTGCTCCAGGCACGGGTCATTGATGAACCCGCTTTTCTCCCAGCCAGGCACGTCTCCGATTCCCTTGTCCTTTTGCGTTTATCCGCAGGCCATATAAAGAATACCGCAATAAGTTAGTACGTACACCTCATGCACTTTCTCACCTATTCATCAAACACGCTGTTTTTGGCAAGAAAAGCAGAGAAATGAGGCGTGTTTCGCATTATGTTGTTCTGTGAAATGTGAACGCACCACTTGATTGCGCTTTCTTAGAAAACAAACCCCATGTTGGAAATTTAGTAGATTAAAAAATTAATCTAAAAAACCACGTTTTAAAAAAGCAAAAAATAACCTTAAACGTTATACGACTTCGTTTTTGGTTGCATACATAATTCCAGGACGTTGCTATAGATGGAAACTCGAAGAAAATGTTGATTGTCAGGTTTGGTTGGACTGGGATCTTTTTTGATGATTTGAAATGAACTTTAGACAACAATCAGCTGGGCTGCGGCTGGGGTGCTTAACACCCTAGTGTAAGGTTGATGTATTTTTGGGTACTTTGATAGATTGTTTGACAACAGCAGTTTTTGCAAGCAGTCTTTTGCGCAAGACAACACAGAAGCAAACTGATGATTCAATACAGAAATGATTTGCTATTTATGCAATTTCAATTTGTCCTTGAAAGTATTATCCTTCTAAAAGGATTTCCCCAAGAATTCAAAATCTTGTGGGAACCCAAGGTCGCGCTCGGTCCCATCAAACCCCCAACTTTCCCAAAGTTCTGCTGTTTTCCTGGTGCCACTCAAATCATGTAACTTTTAGCTCTACTGCTTGTTTCAATTTTCAACACCCCGTGCCTCCATGATGAAAAATCGAGAAATACTTTTTAAAAATCTGAAAGCTCATAAAATGCCTCCATGCGCTAAAATAAATCGCGCTTGAACCTATTCCAAAATTAATAGCAGAACTGCACAAATACATCGGGCTAAACAAATGCAGTACTCGTGAACTCTGTACAACAAAATTCAAGGGACCGTAAAAAATTCGGGGTAGAGAACCCTAGAATTTGTGACTGCAGTGCTCGTGGATGCGCATTAAAATTTGGGGTTTGAAAGCATTCGGAAATTCGCAAGAACTTCATGAAGTAATAAGAAGCCTGCGGAAAACAATCTGTCGATTTTCATCTCATGAAATTATAGTCCAGTTGATATCAGATCGGCCCACTGATTCTACTTCAGGATGCCAATCGATACACACAAGGTATATACTGACTTGAAATGACAGAGCAAAAAGAAAATCAGAATTCACTCATGGCTGATGTACAGTGACTTTTGCCAAAATCCAAATCTTTTCTTCAGTACAATGAACAAAACATCACAGTGCTAAAACAGTTTAATCAAATGGATTCACAAATTTTACAGTGCGCTGTAACTTTTCGAAAATCTCGTTTAGCAGCAATAAGCAAATTTTGAATTCTGAACAGCCATCTATCTCTGACCCAATTTTAAAATAGATTTCAGACCAGCGGAATTCGGAAAGTCTGAGCATGGGATGATGCCTGATGCTTGATCAAAGACACCTCAAAATTTATCAGCATTTCTTTGTATATCAAGCGTCGCACAAATAATGAGACGAAATTCATGGTTCTTCTTGCGCTCGAAGGTCAAGGAGAGCCATTTTTTTCTCCAGAACTCTCTTCAGAATTTTTTTTCCGAGACTGTCTTAAGATTTCTACAGATTTTCATAAACAGACAAAAATGAGTTGAAGTGCTAAATGCGCCAGAAAAGTGGGCTTATCAAAGGAGACAAACGAGCTTTTGATGGAAACATCCATCAAAAGAATCCCGTGGAAGCCGAAACGCCCCCAGGGTGTCACTCGCAATCACGCGGCATATCCAAGCCAAAATACCCCCCTCTCCATTTTCTTTTCGACACGCAGGCGAGGAAGGACCGAGTCCATGTCACAGGAGAAGATACACAGACATTCCGACACATAGAAAAAAAAATATATATATATACAATAAGGGGGTGTAACAGAAGTTCTCGGGATAAAAATTGCTATGGCATATAATTAAGCTGAAAATGGATAGTTTTTCAGAAAAATAATTTCTTTGGCACAAAAAAACCAAATTCAGCCCTGTTTGACATATTTATGGAGATTTTTGCTGTGAGCCAATTTTTGTGTCTTGTTTTCAACTCATTTACGGACAATTCCCAAAGTTTGGGATTCTATTTATGAAAGGTAGATGAATGTAGATTGGCATGCCAAAGATAAATGGCAAAACCATCTGGCAGCAGTTGAGCCATCAAAAAGACACTTCCCCAGAAATTGGCAGGGTGTCCGCCTGTTTTATGAGGGACAGAACTACTGGAAAACATGGGAATTTAATGAATCTTTATAACTTAATGCTCCAGCCAAAAATAAAAATTGCAGGAGACCCGTGATGAATTTGCCTGAACGAAAGCAAATTTTGTTCTCACAGAATTTTTCCACAGCTGTTTCCCAAGCATATCTTCCTTTTTGGGAATACTGTACAACTTGTACAACATTTTTTGGAATTTGTTTGCAATAAGGTACCCATCTTGCAGATTTTTTGCTGTTTCCCAATTTTACCTTCAGTATTCTTGCAATTGACATGGTATTAATCACACTTGTAGATTCCAAGTCTTCCTAGTTAATTCCGCCACTTTCATTAAAATTTGATGAAAATGGCCAAATTAATAATCAGTTAATGGGATGGTGGCAACCCTTGGAATCAATGCCTTGCCAATTTAAAGAAGGGCTAGCTGGGTACATAAAAAAAATCTGCAACGTGGGGCATCTAATCTTTTATTGAAAGAAGAGCAGAAATCTGCCAGGGTGACTTCTGCAAAAAAAAATTTAAAAAAATGTGCCAAAAAAGGCAAAATTCTTCTCTTGCGTCAAAGAATGTTTTCTCTGGACAATTCTTGTTTCTCAATTCAATCGCATGACATTTGAATTTATACTCGGAGAAAATTTCCGAGACCCCTGTACAGAGACCGAAAAAAATAAATGGGGATCCCTTACGCACTGTTACATTTCTTTTCGAAGAAGCAGTTCGACAAAGAAAGAACTGGGTTGCAGACGTTGGCTATACGTATACATATAGTATAACCTACCAAAGCCTTTTTGCTAATCAATCATTCCAGGGGAACACTGAGCTGTCAGTCTTGTTCCTGATAACCCATAAATCTTTGCCTTTTCCTTATTCCCCGCATGTTACTCAAAATATTACAGAATCGCTAGACTAAGGGAACATCCTGATTGATTTGACTCATTCACGCGCGTAATGCGACTTATAGGACGCATCAGTGAACCCTCGAACCTGGGTTTTATTTTTTTGGGAGAAATTATTAGGAATGTATGAAAAATACTGCAGCAGTACGTCCCACAATATTAAAAACTGTTTGAATAAAATTAAGATTTTTTGCACAGATATCAATGGTATTCGTGGACTGTACACATTTATGACGATTATTAGCTCCACTTAAGAATTTCCCAATAATTTGTATTCAAAATATTCCCTTTTGTGTAAAAAAAAAAAAAGTGTGTCGGGTTTCCCAAAGCGTGTTTGTTTCAAATGTACGTTGGACGAATGGTTTTGAAGTTTCTCGTTTTAAAACATTCTCAATAGACATCCTGCAGATTTGTGCATAATTTCGGGCACGTTCTCTTTGAGACTTGATGGCCAAAATTTTTTCTCGATTTTTCAAAAATTCTCATAATGTGCATGTTTCAACGAATAGGTTTTGGAATTATCTCGTTTTAAAAATCATCAATTCTATTATTGACGCAGAACATTTTGGCTTATTTTTCCTCGGATTTCCTTTGAGACTTGAGGCACAAAATCCATTCTCAATTTTTCAAAAATTATCCTGGTGATTTCGCGCCGGGAACCATCTGCAAATTATTTTTTATTCGCTCGAAAAATATTCTTGAGACGAAATAAGGTTGTGATAATTCGATCACGGAATACGTGGATTATTTATATAATTCCATTGAAAAACCAATCCCAGGAAACAATTTCTTCGAACGAGGTGAGAAAAAATTTACTCACCAGTGTTTCATCAGATTCCTTTGACTCGATTTTCACGTCACAACGGTCCCCTACACATATATAAATTCCGTGGAAAGCAGAAAATCGCGTTATTGAAGGAATCGTTCTTCTGTGCTTTGTCCTTTCTCTTTCTTTATTTTTTATTTTTTTGTAGCCCCAGGGAAAACCAGAAATGAAATTGCTCACCAGTGAACCCGGCGAAAGAACAGTCGCAAGTGAATCCACTCCCAACCGGATGACATTCCCCATTGTGTGAGCAAGGGCCGGAAAAGCAAGCCGTGTAATTCAGTCGCTCCACTTTCGAGGGGTTCACCTCGAAGAAAATCTCATCTTGTGGACCTGTCTCAACACCAGCAACAGCGTTGTTTTTCGGGTACCCCGGTGTCGGAGGGGTTGCGTAAAAACACGCCGTTTGTCCCGGTTGGATCTGAGATGACCCTTGACGACACGGGTGACAAGGTTCGAGTCCGTCCGCCGACACAAAACCCGGCTTGCATTCGACTGAAAGCACAATAATATAGCGCATGAATAATGACAGACTGTCGACAAAAGAAACCATTCAATACCTTTTGCAAAATGTTTTTTTTTTCTTCTGAATTTTCTATATAACCTGTGCAAATTCATGAGAAATGCGTCGAATTTTCCGTCAAAAAAAAAAGACTTGAGAAGCATAAAAGCAGTCGTATATTTAAACTGCTATGATTTTCCTCAGCTAGCTTGTTGAAACAGGTTCGAATGAAAAATTACTGCCCGATGGCTTTAATTTTGATTTGCGAAATTGAGGATAAGTCATCGCTAAGAAAATGTAAACCGAGAGAAAATGAGTCATCAATTCTTTCTTATGCGCGTTGGTGAATTTCGTACGACATTTATGCAATTTCCAATCGCGCCTTTACATAATTTTCAAAAAATGAGCATTATTGACATTATTTTCATAATCCCAAAAATGTATAGTTATATAGTTATAATTTAAAGTTATAATAATCTTGGAAAGTTCCTATTTTCTAATAATTTTATTGCCACCGGGTGAATAGTTTCCACTAAAGCAAAAAATCAATTTCATCAGATTCTGCATGAAGAAAAAAACCTCGATAAATGGGGGAAAAAAATGATGGCAAGAAAGGATAAATCCGTGTTGCAGCAGATTTTGGCATTGCATCAGTGTGCCTGGAAGTGTAATTAAAAACACGACTGCTGATTTAAGATGGCGCGGAGTTTGCTTCATAAACTTTGCTGCTTAATCACAGAAACTTTGATACGATCATAAAAGTTCGTCAGCATAGAAAAATCTTGGTCATTTTTCTAGGATATCTTCATTAAAAGAAAATTTCCAGCATTTTTTTCCAGTCAAAAGAGTTTCTTGAAACAGAATCCACGGTCTGTATATATGGGTGAAATTTCATCGCACCAAACTTTCAGAGACCATTCAAATTCTCTACATGGTAACAAAAATATGACAAGAATCATGATATACACATACATTCTGAAAGTTCCGATTCTTAACTTAAATTAATGAAGCATCTCAGAAAAACTAGACAAAAACGTCGTCTCAGCAAAAGAGAAAACAAATTTATTCCAGTAAAAAAAAAATCAATCCAATGTTTTTATTGATATGATGCCGGATTTTTCTTTCGATTAACATTTTTTGGCATTCCTGTGAGCAAAAATGTTGACTCAGAATCGCTATTTTCAAAAAGACAAAAACAAAAATCTGGACGTTGGGAACTTGATACGATCTGGGATTTTCTCGGAAAATTACAGATACAACACCAAAATAAATCTCGAATTCATGCAATGAATGTTTGGCATTCGTCATAGCGAGATTCTTTTTGTTGTTACGTCTATAGTAATTTTGCATGAACTTTTGAAAAAAGTTTCGGTACAAGGAAATATTTGTTGCATGACGTAATTTTACCTCCAACATATTAACTAAGTAATTTAACAGATTCCTCCAACTAAAAAAACTGCTGGATTTCTATTATTGAGAAAATACTTGATTTTAAAAATTTTCTTTTGTATGCACATTTTTGGCATTGCTGTGAGCAGAACATTTTTCAATCAGAATCGCTCTTTTCAAAACCAGAAATAAAAATTTGATTGAAAACTCAAAAGCTCTGGAATTTTTTAGAAAAATTTTGGATACACCACAAAAAATTGAATTGATGCTATGAATACAGTATCTAAATTCGTCGAAGCGAGATTTTTCAATCGTCACATTCATGATTTATCTGTATGAACCGTGGAAAATATTTTCCTTATAACGAATTATTCGTTGCATAACGTAAGCAATGCACTGTATATTGTACAGTATTACAAGAACCACGTATTCGAGCTCAATACCTCCAAGGACGCGAGGGAGAAAATTGCTGAGGTGGAAAGATGCTTCCGAATAATGCTCACATTCGTCACCGTTTTCTATATATATATATATATATACGGCGATGGCCGAAGGGGAACAAATCTACCTTTGCAATTGTCGATATGCCTGGATCCGTTTCGGTGAGTGGTTCTCCCTTCGGGGCACTGAATACACTCATTCTCGCCAGTCCCGGGCTGGTACCATCCGTTCTGACAAAGCTCGCAGGGCTGGAGACCATTCTTAGAAGCCGAACCTGGTTGACATTCGGCTGTAGCAAAGGCGAATAAGAAGGAATCGGGGGAGAAGAGGAATCCCGGTGAAAATGCGTTATTCATTCTGATATGAATCAGCAGCACAGCTTTACCCACGGGGTTTAGCCAATAAATTCAGCCACAATAACAACACATTTTCGTGCATTAACTCTTGTGTGGCAAAGTCATGATATTTCTGCAAAGAATACTAAAAACAACTAGCAGCACAGCTTTACCCACGGGGTTTAGCCAATAAATTCAGCCACAATAACAACACATTTTCGTGCATTAACTCTGGTGTGGCAAAGTCATGATATTTCTGCAAAGAATACTAAAAACAACGTTTTTTTTTAAAACTAAGCTAGGCCTACACTAGTCAGGAAAAAGTTCATTTTTATAAGCCTGCAAAAAATATTGCATGAAAAAAAAACTTCACTGGGTGGCGTTTTTTCCCTGCATACCTAGCATTAGATTAACATTGGAGGTTTCTCAAGACAAAAGACTCTTCCCTGCCCAGATTTTTCAACCTGGTGAAATTTCAGTAATGTTTGGTCAAACTGAAATGCACATCCCCCTGGAAAAATAACAAATCTACCATATTTACTCAAGTACCATGCTCACCTTTTTTCCCAAAATTCAGAAGAAAAAATTGGGTGCGTGTCATAAGGGGGTACAAAATTTTCAAAAAGTTTTAGGAAGTTATGTGTACATTATATTTAATTTTAATGGAGAAATAACATTTTTGTACTGAAAAAGTTGAAAATTGATCAGATTTTTGTTCAATTCACGCCTAAAAGTCAAATTTTTGGTTTTTATTTTTTAAATTTCATGGTTTTAGATTCCCTTAAAATTGCGGTGCGCATCTTACTCGGTGATAAGATTTTTGCAAAATTTTCAACTGAGAAACCCCTGTGCGCACCTTACTTGAGGGCACGTGGTACTCAAGTAAACATGAATGGAAGAGAACCCTTTGCCATTCAAAGGTCAAGAGAACCCAACAAAAGAACAAACAATAAAGATGCAGTGGAACAAATAAAAAACATTTGTTGCCAAGAACATCTTATTTAATGGAACACCTTGAATATGTGTTTTTAGTTTTTTCAGAATGATCAACAGTACTCTGTAATTTGATGGCAAAGAACTGCCAAAATTCACATCAAACTCTGAAAACACTATTTATGAACAAATATACCAAATTTGTGTACAAATCCAAATCTGAACACAGGTATTAAATGTGTCAAGATGAAGAAGGAATAAAGGGGAACAGTAATCCCTCACAACCAAGTTCTGTAAAGATGACATCTTTTTCAAATTAACCTTTGGATGGCAGAGGGTTCCTGGCCATTCTGAGGCAAAGTTTGGATTTGGGGGAGGGGGGCATTTCAGTTTGACTGAAGGTTACTGAAATGCCCCCAGGTTGGGAAGGCCAAAGTCATGAAAAATCTGGGTACATAAAGTCCCATTGTCTCAAGAAATCCCCAATCTTAATCCTATGCTGGGAATGCATGAAAAAATGCCAGCCAGTGAGGAATATATTTTTCTTAGCCAAAATTTCCTGCTGAATTATAGAAAAGTGTCTCGCTTTTTCCTGACTTGGGCATTGGTTCACAATTTTTTTTTCTATTTGCATGCAGCCCTCATGGGGACAAAATTTTCAAAAAATATCCTGATTTTGTTCCACAATGGTTAAAACTGAAGAATAGGAAACACCTTCCCTGGGTTTCTCTCAGTGCATTCTCTCCACAACAACAACATTTGTCTCCAATTATTGGGCACAATGTCTTCAACTCAATTTGGCAAGAATGAATCTGGCTGATTTTCATACTTCATTGTAACTAGAATGTTTCTCAAATTTGTATAAACAGAACCTAAAATCTTCCATAACTGGATATTGGCGCCGGTCTATAGAAACTTTCTCAGAAATGCAACTCCAACAGAATTCGACTTATTGCACTTTAAATGTCCACAAACATAAAAAAGCGATCATTTAATCGAGACCAAACCTTTCTTTTAAACATAAACTCAACACTGACAGGAACTTCCACCAACCCCCTGAAGTAAGAAATGAGTACCTTTGCAAGATGACAGGCTAGTCTTCAATGCCGAGGACTTGGTTCGGTGTCCAATGGGACAGGAAATACACGACAGTTGGCCTTCTTCCGGTTGATAGGAATTTTCCGGGCAAGGCACACATTTCGTGTCCGGCACACTATAATAATTCCCTGGCCCACATTTCACTTGGAACGAATAAGAAAAAATTGATATTAAATTAGGTACATCTCATGCGAAATACGAACAGAACAGTATCTCAACTCGTACACAAAGTCGGTTTAAATATGGAATGCCAAAACAGCTTATTGGCGAGAATTATTCTTTGGGAACTCTGTCGGACTTGCGAATGTTGTGAAATATTGCTTCAAATTGCCGTTTGAAACATTTCTCGCATGAAAGCCTGCAGTTACCCATGAAAACGAATACGATGAACGGAAATTCATGCTTCATAAATTAATTTAAAATGTCAAGAAAAATATGGAAAATGAAGCAGTTTCCAGACGTCCATCTCGTCACTTGAAAAAACTCTTCATCGGAAGTGATTCCCTTTTGGAACTGACTGTACATTGCATTTCGCTTGAATCGTGATAGAAATGAAAGGGGTGGCTCAAAAATTCGCCTCTGAAATGTATCTCTTTCCTGAAATTTTCGACCCCAGGTTTTTCTTCCCTCTATTAAATTCATCTGAATTTGAATATTCCATTTCAAGAACTTTGGTGGCCATTTGCTTTGGAAAGTTCAGCAGATTTCCGAAGCAAAAAAGTAAACTTTTAAAAATTAAGCCTAATGCTGCTTCTTCCGTATTTTCGTGAAATCAATTGATTCACTGCACTGCTCGTAGTTCACGTATAGTTGCAAAAATTGCAAAAGAACCCGGTTGCGTGAACCAGCAAAAAAGCGTGCATTACGTGATGAGAACTTTTTTTTTTTTGTTGCAATGCTCACCACAGGCGTCATTTCGAGGCACGGAACCTGCAGGACAATGAAGCGAAATTTTATCGCTGAATCGCATGCCAGTGAATGACACTTCCGTGCCTTCAAAAATCTCAATTTTCATAGAACCGAGCTGGTCCTCGATTTTCGCCAAAAGCTCCGACTGGGGAACAGTAATCCCCACAGATCCCGAAAAGGGTGGATCCTCAGTCAGTTTTCCTGGAAATATCAACGAAGAAATGATATTAAAAAGAAAAAAAGTGATGATTTAGAAAAATGGTCCGAAGCCCGCATTTCAAATCCTTCGAAAAATCCTCGCAGTGTCTGATAAACCTGCGATATTGCATTATATATACTCTGCATTCGTCGTTATTCTTCACAGTTCTCGAGGTATATTTGAAATCATGAGATTTTTTATATGTAAATGCAGCAAAAAACCAACGGCTGATATTGCTATAATATAATGGAATTTCTTTGATAGTATTAATTACCGAAGTCAAGCACAAAAAAATCTCTATTGTTTCGCCTTTGAAACTGACTTTTTCGAAAGTTTGCGACACAAGTTTACTTCATTTTTCAAAATTCACTGAACAAACCCCCTAAAAACAAAAATTCGGTTGCAAATTATCGGTACTTTTAGTCTTCATCGCTAAGAATCTGCATTTTTCCCTTGAAATTATTACGAGACGACTTGTGTTTGTGACATAATAATGTGTACAAAATTTATTGTATAACACCTCCATAAGAAAAAAGTGGTCGAAATAATTTTGGTTCTTAACAACCGAATAAGAGCCAGAAATCTCTAATGTTTGTCCGTGGAAACTATTAAGAGGAGTTTTTTCGAAAGTTTTTGGCTCACTTTTACTCAAATCTGGCAAATATTTACTGCATAAGTCCTCTAAAAAAACAGTTAATTGAAAACACTGCAATTCTGAATGCATTGCTATATGCCATGTTGCGGAAGCAGGCTGACATTACTTTTTTGTGCAGATAATTAATCAATTTTTTTCAAACGAAAACTGAAAGAAAATGTTCCATATGCTGAAGTAAAAATCCCAGTTCAGTGGGTTCCCTTAGTTAGTGCACAAAGATCCAAGAATAAAGTCACTAACCACTAACTCTGACGGTCAAACTGATCGTCTTAGGCGCAAGTGCTGGAGCAGGTGTTGCGGAAAACATCTCAACTGTGGTCAACTCATCGATATCTTCTTCACTTTCCGCTGATAAATCATCGAAAGTTGAGCTGGTCATTCCATCATCATCATGACCTGATTCGTCACTTGCACTTTCTGAGAAAACGTCATCTTCCGGCGAATAAGTCGTTGTTTCGAACTGTTGGTCAAAGTTCGATTGTTCGGGAATGATGAGTGCTGGAGTGGTTGAGAAAACTATTTCGACAGATTCCGGGGTTGATTCTTGAATGTGGACTTTTTCAGTCTCAGTTTCTATTTGAGACGTTGTCGTTTCGTATTCCAACAAATCAGGACTCGTTGTCAATGAAGATTGTGCCTTTGTCGGTGACGTTGTTACGGCTGGAATCTTTTCAGCACCAGTGTCAGCTGTCGACTCGAGTTTTACCGTAATGACGTCGCGTAAATCTGGTAAATCCCGCAGAATTCCTTCTGTCGCATTTTCTAGGTCAGACTCGAGGTTTCTAGGGGTTGACGTTGATGCTATGCCAGTATTTCCAGCAGGGAATCTTGGTTGCTGTTCAGTGATGCTGGTGCTGGGTGTTTCTTCGGATAATTCAGGAAGTTTTGTGTATGACGTGGTAGTCGGAAATGTTTCAGAGATTCGGTTTTCCGTGGTTTGAGGCATGTGGTGATTGTGGGCAACATTTTTGACGGTGGTTATTGTGTCAATTAATGGCCCGGAACCGGAAGACTCAAGTTCTGCTGCAGTGTCTTCATCTGAGTCCATGGATTCTGAATTTGGCAGATATTCTTCTTCTCCTTCTTCGCTTTCAGTTTTTTCTGTTGAGGGAATTCTTGCGTCGTCATTGATTTCATTTCCGAAATTGTGCACAGGTTTTGAGCCAGATGAGTTCTGTTCTTCCGCAGCAGCAGAAGAGGGATTGTTTTCGTCTGTGGATTTATTTTCAGTGGTTTCTTTTGAATTTTCTGGTTCCACAGATTCCGGGGTTTGAAAGGAAATCTTTGTTTCGATGGCATTTCCTTCAGTTGTACGGATGATTTCGTCATCGATTTCTTTTTCGGGATTTGGCAACGGTCCGAAACCTGATGATTCCTGTTCTTCCGGCGCAGAAACGTTTTTCTTTTTGCTTGATTTCGTTTCTTGCCACTGTTCTGGCTCATCTGTAGAATCGACCACAAAGTTGGGATTTGCTGGAGAATACAAGTTTTCTTCGATCTGATTTTCTTTAGTTTCCGGGATAATTTCTTCTNGCGATTCTTCGATCGACAGCAATTTCCTCGGCTGAAAATGTGCATCAAATTGCACGTTTCCTGGCGGCGTGGGTTCGCAAACCGCGTGGAGTGTTTGCAAATCGCAAGTTTCCAGGCCATTTTGTCGGCACAGCTTGTCTATTTCTGGCTTCATCTCTTCTTGGACCCTGTTTGCCAACTGTGATAGGTTTGCATGCATGGTTTATTTTCCGGGAAAAATGAAAAGGGAAGCAAGCAGCCGTTTCCAAGGATGTGACAATGTTTGACATGACAACATTATTCTCTGGTTTCGAGATAAAATGTGCTGTACAAGCAATGTCTTTTTTTCAGATAAAATGAAAAACCTTCATGATTCGAAACTTAACATCGAGACACTCAGAACAATCGCAACTACGCAAATTTACTCTTTCAGCCAAAAAATTATTTCATGGAGATAAGACTTGTTTCTGCTTGATTCCTCAAAAATTATTCCAAGTCATTGAACAATCGGCGGTCTTTTGAAAAGCCAAATCGAAAATAACAGTTATGAAAATGAATAATGTTCTCACCTGCTCCATAAGAAAACCATCTTCGCAAATAGATTCCATTTCAGATACCTCAATGTCGATTGTTCCTTCACTAGATCCACTGAGGGCTTCAAAACTCTCTACAGAAAAGTAGTCATTCATTAAAAACTTCAAAGAGTAACTTCAAAAGTACGTTTCATGCGGCTCAGCTGAGTTTTGCTAATTTTTGAAGATAGAATAATTCCGAAGTAAATAAGGTAGACACAGCGTAATTGGATTGAGAAATTAATATAAAAAACAAGCATTGGTAAATTTTTACTGCATTTAAAGAGAAAATCCGACGCAGTCCTCAACTGGGAAAGTTCTTTTTTCGAAATCCACGCGAAAACTGAAATAAATCTTGAATACAGTGATTGATGTCTTGCCAAACCTGCACAAATTGACAGCTGTGGGTCCTGTCGACCATTCCACAAGCCTCGGGTATCGTTCTTTGAGCAAACCAGTTCCCGGGTTTTGCCGGGAAGTTCATCAACAAAAGCATATCCCGTTTTGCAGGTTACTTTGCAAACGACATTTGCGTCTTCCTCAGTGCATTTTACCTGGGTCATGTTCGGCGTTGCAGAAATCGGCGGATAACACGGATGTGCTGTTGAAAATCAAGAAAAAAGCGTTGCATAAAGGCGTGCTTCCGGAATTGCAAAATTGAAATAATTCTCTGCGAGATTACTACACATACATATCGAGATTTCTTGCACTTTTCTGCTCTGTTACGAAGATGAATGGATTCATTTCTATCTACATATATCCACTTTGCATTTTTCTGGCTGTTTATTCGCCCTTTACCGCGCAGTAAATGGCATTTTGTTTCTCACGATTTTGAATATTCATGGCTCGGAGCGTTTATTTGACTGCTTCTTCGACGGGTTCGAAGCAACAAGAAAATCACTGAAGCGAATCATAATACGTAATAATATAGTTTTCTTCTTGAAAGTTGGTGTAAAGATGATTTGCTCTTATTGCTCATATAAATCTTTTTTTTTCGAATGATGTTGAATTGTACCCAGAAAAAATACTGCAAGTTTCTGCGTAAATTTTGCACACGAGTTGGGCAGAAAGCAGAAACCTAGATGCAATGAAAGTGTTCGTTGTCCCAGTACTAGAATTGCCTGCTTATTCTTAGTTTAATTGCAGTTCCTGATTTATTTTCCACTATAATGACTATAGCGGAGCAAGTTGGAGGAAGCAAACAATTAACCCAGCGATATTTTCTGCTCTGGCAAAATTAATGGCGCAGTCTTTGTGCTTTGCATTCGTTGAAAGTTTTTTTTGTTGGGGCACTTGCTGATATAACCATAAAGTTTTGCTTCCAAGAAATGAATAGAACACGTTCGGGAACAAAATTAAATTAACTTTGCACGTTTTCAGCTCATGAAGGAGTTGGATCAAGTTAGAATAACTAATCAATTATTTCGCCAAGATTTGCTCCCGACAAAATGTTCAACTCGCTCGATACCCTGTAACTTTTGCACAGAAATATTTCAAGCTTATGCTTCACATTTTTAATTTTTTAAATGGTAAATTCTTCACGAAAACAGAGGAGTATATTATTTATATTCCACAATTTTTATTAAAGTACCCAAATGGAGTCGTCAAGGTTTTTTTCCCTCAACCGCTTTTATACGGGAAGCCGATTTATATTTTAATTTTCTACATGCACATAATTACCCCTGTTCGAACATATTTGACAGGAAAACACTTTTGGCGTAACTTTCAAGAAACGAATGGTTCTTTTTTTTACAATACAGTAGAGTAGGAAAAATAAAATAGGACTTACATTGAACGACTACAATCCATTCGCACGTCACTTCGTTGCCTGCGTCGTCGGCAGCTACAAATTGAACCAGGGTTGGGCCGGGTTTGAAAGTTGCCCCGGGGGCGTGACTTTGTTTGATTCGCAAAACCGCCTGGGAATTATCCCAGAAAGTCGGCGGGTCGAAGTCGACCGGAACTTCTTTTCCTTCCGGCGACACCCTGAGCAGCACGGGTTTCCCGTCCACGTTAGTGTCACTGCTGGGACACTTTTGAACCACTGGTGGTTCTTTGTCTGAGCATTTAACCACGAAAAAAGAAGGCGCAATCAATGATTCGCAAGAAGAACAAAAAGATCAATTGTAAACCAATAACACATTTTCCCGCCCGAAATTTTGTATCTTAATTACAGATTGGTTATGAAACCGGGTGTAGCGAAAAATCTTGGCGACACTTTTAACTGATTCTTTCAAATTTTCTGTTAATATATTCTTGATTTGATTGTGAATTTGAAAAAAATTGATTTTTTTTTCAAGAGATTAAAGCTGATTTTTCTGAAGGCGTAGTCAATTTTTCGGAATTTGGAATGTATGGGCAATTGACTTGTAGAGACGTGTCACTGCAAAGATGAGCGACAAATGTTTCATTAATTTTAGCACGATCAAAAATACTGTTGCGTTATTGGTTTGCAACCTCAAACTTTTCTTCAGGAAAAAAATAACACCATTCAGACTGAGGGCAAAAAGACCTCTGGAGCAAATTCTATTAAAGCGTAAATTGTATTTATGATTATTCAAGACATTTATTTCTGTGCAAATATTTGAATGAAGTCCTCATGCAGAGGCTGGTGATACGCGAAGTTTTTCACACGATGAAGACGAGGTACATTAATGTACTTCCTGTACTTTCTGGTAAAAAAAAATTTTATATGAGAGCAGCACCTGAACTTCTTTTTGGTCGAAGATAATCTGTCGGTATATTTAAGAATTCATGACGTCATTAGGGTCAAATATCAAATAGAAAGAGTTGAAGGATGTCTGAAGTGACTTGTGGACGAAGTGTGAAAACATTGACAAATCAAATAAATTATGGAACTTTTTTTAACCTTCAACCGTGATTGTCACGTTGCAAGACGCAGTATTTCCACTGGAATCAGCCGCAAGAAACTGAATGACGTGGATCCCAATGCGAAATTCTGTCTGAAGCTCAATGTCAGCGGGTTTCGACACAACGACGATGTCTTCTTCGGAATTATCTGACACACACAAACGCAAAATGAATAATAATAGCCATCAATGGAAGAAGTGGAGCATGAAATCGGAATAGGTTCACACATGTGATTGGATCAACGGCTTCAAAGGCCAAAAATGGGATGGGAATTAATTAGCAGATTCCCTCACCTTTCGCCTTTGGTCGCTTGAGGAAGGCAGTGCCAAAATTTTCGCCTGGTTTGGCAAGCATTGTCTGGTCAGGGGGGCAATTCATTTTTGGTGGTGTAACATCTAAAGGAAAGTGAAAATATTGTTTTCATAATTTTATAACTTCTGTAATGCCTTTTTAACATTGAAGTCAACTTTTCTTCGTAATTTTCAGCCATTCATCATTGGAAAAAAATGGATATCAGAGTTGAATTGAATATAGAGAGGAATAAATCATGCGGTTGAGAAATCAAGCACTAAGCAATTCCGCAAACTGTCTACTAACCTCTAATGTTAAAAATAAATACACTATTTAAGGAATTGTTTTTGGTCAAGGTGGTCACACTAAAAAAGTTGCGTGTTAATTAAACTAAAGGGACTAAGTAGACAGAAGTAATGGTCTGTATATGACCCTGTACCCAAGATATTTGTTTAAAAATATAATGCAGAGCATTATTTAATATAACAAACCACGGCATTTTATTTTCATATTCGGATCAGTCCATCTTCCGCCAGATCCGCAAGTTTGGTGGTGAGTGCCATACAGGTCATAACCCGGATCGCACGTGACCTCGCAAGTCTGATTCATTGTCGACCATGACCTGGTACATGATGATGGATGTATTTTCCCATACTTCACCTTGGGCAATGGCAAACATCTCACAGCTGCAAGAAAATAAATCAATTGATTGATCGGGCCCAACTTCGGATACCTTGAATGAAAGCATCTCTCTCTTTGTCGCAATACCTGCACTTATTGGCTGGCGTCTAATTCAGAATTACGTGACGTGATTCATACGTGCAGACGCGTGAATATTGTGGGAATATGATTATGCATTTCATGTCAAAGTATTGCAGCAGAATTAGAGATTACATTCCGGCACCTTTCGGAAAAATTCAAAATTTCAGCCCGCGCGAGGAAAAGTCATGATTTTTTGCATATTTCGGGACCTTGCGATTTTTATAAATTGAATGAAATTCAGGGCATAATCGGAGAAAAATTTTGAGAAGTTAGTTCGGTAAATAATACATCACTCTGTGAAAGTGTAAAAAATGGGGGTTTCTTATTCTCGTCCATCAGTCGCCTAACTGTTGTTTTTTGTGATAAATAATTTTAAAATTTTTTTCTTTCCTCGCTCATTCCTTTTACCGAATTGAATAACCTCGCATCAGTAACTGTATTCTGCGAATAAAAAGTGAATCATATCTCGAAAATGTGATGCTCTCAATTTTTTCAGAAGGGTTGCATTATCTCTAAGTTGGCATAATCCTCACTCGCGGATTTCAAACTCACGTTTGCATTTCGCCGGAATTCCAGACCACAAGCCCAAAGGGAGACAGGTTCTAGATTCAGATCCAATCAACATGTACCCAGGTTTGCAGGAAAATCTGCATGCCGACTTGAGCCTTACTTCCGGATCCTCGCACTCTATTTTGCCATGGACTGGTGTCGGCAGTTTGGGACATCTTTTCCGACTTTTAGCCGTTGTAATTTCCCTTCTACACTTCCTATTTGAAACTTAAAGGGCAGTTCGGGTACTAACGTAAAAAAAGACAAAGTATGGGTCTTTGTATTTGTCTTGTAGTCTGAAACATTTTTTCATTTGAAATTCCAATGCAAAAGATGAAAATTGTCATTTCAGAATATAAAGTAGTATACTTCCTATACATCCATCTGTTGGATTGGCGATTCCACAAATTTTTGAAGAGTTTCAAATCTTATCAGTTGCTTCACCAGACTTTTTTTTGCATGTCCCACAATTTATTTTCAAGGCTATGTCAAATGACCTTTTTGGTAGCAACTGAATAAATTAGCTAGCTGAAAAAAGGCAATATACAAGTGCTTCCAATGGAATTAAGGAAGATAGGAATGTTTCAGGAAAAATGAAAGTACTGAAGTGAGAGTGCTTCATGGTGGTTTCTCTCTTTTAAAATTCAAACTAGGGCCTTTTTTGTGGAGTTTTTATTATAGGATGATTGTAGAAAATACTGCCAAGTCTCAGAAAAATTTTGCCAAATCCAACAACCCCCCCCCCCCAAAACCCCGCATTTTAAAAACCTGTTTGTCAAACTCCCCTCTCCACCTACTACTAAGAGAAGGGCACTTATTTAATTTAGCCCTGTCTAAGCCCCGGGTTTTATTAGAGGCCAGTGTTTATTTAATAGCAGGCATCTATCAGAGCAAATATGGTATACAGTGAGACCCCTACATGCGGACACCTTGACCTGTGGACAATTTGACATAGGGACACTTATTTCCCCAGAAAAAATCAATGAATAAGGCCCAAGTTTGAATTTTAAAAGAGAGAAACCACCATGAAGCACTCTCACTTCAGTACTTTCATTTTTCCTGAAACATTCCTATCTTCCTTAATTCCATTGGAAGCACTTGTATATTGCCTTTTTTCAGCTAGCTAATTTATTCAGTTGCTACCAAAAAGGTCATTTGACATAGCCTTGAAAATAAATTGTGGGACATGCAAAAAAAAGTCTGGTGAAGCAACTGATAAGATTTGAAACTCTTCAAAAATTTGTGGAATCGCCAATCCAACAGATGGATGTATAGGAAGTATACTACTTTATATTCTGAAATGACAATTTTCATCTTTTGCATTGGAATTTCAAATGAATTTTACAAAGTCTGATGTTCTGTTTATGTTTCTGGGTATGAAACAGAAAAAAATGCAATCATGGGCTTGACGGGAAATTCAAAGTTTATCCTTCACATCTTCCCTTTAATGTTGCCGATTTTCAGCCAAAAGATGTCCCAAACTGCCGACACCAGTCCATGGCAAAATAGAGTGCGAGGATCCGGAAGTAAGGCTCAAGTCGGCATGCAGATTTTCCTGCAAACCTGGGTACATGTTGATTGGATCTGAATCTAGAACCTGTCTCCCTTTGGGCTTGTGGTCTGGAATTCCGGCGAAATGCAAACGTGAGTTTGAAATCCGCGAGTGAGGATTATGCCAACTTAGAGATAATGCAACCCTTCTGAAAAAATTGAGAGCATCACATTTTCGAGATATGATTCACTTTTTATTCGCAGAATACAGTTACTGATGCGAGGTTATTCAATTCGGTAAAAGGAATGAGCGAGGAAAGAAAAAAATTTTAAAATTATTTATCACAAAAAACAACAGTTAGGCGACTGATGGACGAGAATAAGAAACCCCCATTTTTTACACTTTCACAGAGTGATGTATTATTTACCGAACTAACTTCTCAAAATTTTTCTCCGATTATGCCCTGAATTTCATTCAATTTATAAAAATCGCAAGGTCCCGAAATATGCAAAAAATCATGACTTTTCCTCGCGCGGGCTGAAATTTTGAATTTTTCCGAAAGGTGCCGGAATGTAATCTCTAATTCTGCTGCAATACTTTGACATGAAATGCATAATCATATTCCCACAATATTCACGCGTCTGCACGTATGAATCACGTCACGTAATTCTGAATTAGACGCCAGCCAATAAGTGCAGGTATTGCGACAAAGAGAGAGATGCTTTCATTCAAGGTATCCGAAGTTGGGCCCGATCAATCAATTGATTTATTTTCTTGCAGCTGTGAGATGTTTGCCATTGCCCAAGGTGAAGTATGGGAAAATACATCCATCATCATGTACCAGGTCATGGTCGACAATGAATCAGACTTGCGAGGTCACGTGCGATCCGGGTTATGACCTGTATGGCACTCACCACCAAACTTGCGGATCTGGCGGAAGATGGACTGATCCGAATATGAAAATAAAATGCCGTGGTTTGTTATATTAAATAATGCTCTGCATTATATTTTTAAACAAATATCTTGGGTACAGGGTCATATACAGACCAAATGAAGACAGATGAATCAGGGAAATCAAATTAATTGTGCGTTGAAAAAATCACACTGGTGGAACTGGTTTTTGTTAAGGAATTTATCACATAAATAAAAATTGTAATCTCCAATCATCTGTCAAACGGGAATTGCTTAGTGCTTGATTTGTCAACCGCATGATTTATTCCTCTCTATATTCAATTCAACTCTGATATCCATTTTTTTTCCAATGATGAATGGCTGAAAATTACGAAGAAAAGTTGACTTCAATGTTAAAAAGGCATTACAGAAGTTATAAAATTATGAAAACAAT